CTTTCCTATTTCTTACACTAACAATAATAATTATAATTATTCTGGTTAAGACCATTCAGATCTAATTAATTATCATTATAATACTTTTTTAAGTCTGGATTTAAATAATTATTCCATCTTTCTCGGATTTATTTAGCATGTCTAACAATTTTTGCTGGATTAGCCCGATTAAAATCAATAGTTATTTGAGTCCAATTCTTATTTTCACTTGGATCTGTAATTAATTTTTGTAAAACTTCATCTTCCTCTATATTCCAAGGTGCCATTTTTAAATTAGTTTTAAGCATACTAATCCATTTTAAATTCAATAATTATTCTGTCACACCCAGCACTGAAGAAAGATATTGCCAATCTTAATCAGACTATGCTATTTATAAGATATACAGGATTGAGATCACTCTTATTCGTTAATTCAAAATATTTCAATACAGTCCATACAAATAGTATTTTATCTTTTCTATGCCACTTAGTACGATGTTCTTCATTAGTTCGTCTACTTTTATTGTAAACATCTACTTTGAAAACTCTTAGAAATAATAATTCAGGATATTTTTGCAAGGTGGAAAACTTTTTTCATTTATTTTCAGAACTTTCTTGATCTATTTTAATTTAACAGGCTTATCTTTGAAATCGCTGATGTCTTCAAGAAATTAAGAAAAATTTGACATTTTTTATAATTAAAAAAAATTATTATTCAATTCTTTAAGTAAATCCTTTATTCAATAGCAAAAATAATTTGAATTGTCAAATATGCATGATTGATATTAAAGTATAATTTAAATTAAATAATGAAAAAATTAATATCTTAATTAACTATCAGAAACCTAAATAAATTTTATGTAAATTTATTTCTATAAGCATATAGACTCGATGTTACTTGGTTTAAGCAACCTTTATTTTGATAAATCAAAAGTATTTATAAAATAAAAAATTTATATTACAATATATTATAATTCAAAAGGTTTTTTTAATTCCAGTCTTTTTATACTTAAATTCTAGAATTCTTTTAATGATATATAATTTAAGGCATTTATTTCTGATCTACTAAATCATGATTTATGAAGTATCTTATTAACTCTTTAAAAAAAAATAGATATTTCTTGAATTGATAGCAATATTAATTCATAATATTTAATACTATAAATTAAATAATCTAAAGTTTTATGACATTTACTTAAGATTCATATAAAAATAATTAAAAACTAGAAAATCACAAACTATTCCTTAAATTTACTAATATTTTTGTTATATAATTTATTACCTTAATGATTTAATTAATCCTATTTAATATAGATTACTCATTGTTATTATTATTACATTTAAAAACAGATTCATTTTAGAACATCTTAATAAAATAAATGAAAATAATTTATAATATATTATTAATCAAAGTTTTGCTAAGAACTAACGAAGTTAATCCTGTTTTAAGGTTGCCTTTTCCATAAATGACTTAAATTCATTCCAAGTAAGCTAATTAAATGAATAATAAATACAAACAACAGCTAATTTTAATTAGATTATTAATCTTAATTTCCATCTTGTAATTATTAAACAATATCATTTATCAAATCATCAACCATTTCTTCAAAATTTTAGGTTGAATTTAATTTCTTAATTTATATATATTATAATTTACCTTAAAACTGACTTTTAAATCTTTCATTGAATTATTCAATAAATCTTTGATATCTTTTATGGATAGCATACCTTTATGATCTTTATCATATTCATTAAATTAATGTTATAATGTTCCTCTAAAAACATATTTGCCTTTTTCATTTACACAAAGATATTTAATCCATTCATCTCTTGTAATTCTTCCTGATTAATCCATATCTAGTATTTCCATTTCTGTTTGTAATCTATAATAATCTGGTTTATCTCCTTCATATGCATAAATTAAATATTTCAATTCTGACATAGAGACTTCATTATCATAATTTATATCAGAAGCATCAAAAGCAGCCCAAGCATTCATTACATCTAAATATGCTTATTTACAAATCCATCCATCATTTTTTTGTTCTAAGTAAGCATTAGAAGAATCTTATAAAGTTTTAAAAAGTAAATCAAGAATTTCTTATTATTAATTATTGAATTCAGTCAAAAATAATTGTTTGATTGATTCTAATTCACATAATTCACATCTATCATTTCCAACTGCATTTATAAAAAAGTTTTCATATAGAATTCTCTTTTCTTTATATCTTCTACTTGCATTTTCATATGTTTAGATAAGTGCATATTTTAATAGAAAGTCTTGTAATTCAAAATTTCCAATAATCCATAGTTTAAACTCATTAAATGATATTGTATAACTGTAATCTCTATCCAATTCTAGAAATAATCGTTCTGCATAAAAATCAATATCTTTTATTGAAGGAGCAGGTAAATGAACTAACTTACATAAGCCACAAATGCATCTTTCTAAAGCAACGACTAATTCATCCTTTTCTATTTCACCTGACTTATCAGTATCAAATAATTAGAATATGAACTATAATTTAAGTTCTTATTCTTCATCACTAAATATTGTCTATAAGTTAATTCATTTAATTACCAATACAGCTAATGATTCGTAAATATCATTAGACCCTTCTAAAGAAGAATTAGAAGACAAGAGTTAGTATACATGTTATGTCCAAATTTCTAAAATTGGGTTGAATACATCACAATAATCACTGTATTCTAAATATTTTGAATTAGGGAATTTAGTATTTACAACATCAATAGCCTAGTTTAAATATCATAATACTTCGTTAATGTGTTGAAGTTTACGAGATTTGAGAAATTCAATCATTTCTCTATCAAGTTTATCTTTAGGTTTAGTTTTAAAATAGTTTCCCATGACGTATGGATTAATAAATTTAAATAAAAAACTAGAATGAATTATTATTCCTGATATTTATTTTATGCTACTTACTTTTGATTAATAATAAAAAAATTTAACCTTAAAATTTCCTATTTGAACTCAAATTTCATTAAAAATACATTATTGAATTCAGATAATTAATTAAACCCTATTATTATTCGATTTGATTAATAATACCCTTAAATTTGAATGAAAGTATTGAGAAGATTTTTCTGTATCTTGTCAAAAAAATAAGGTATATAATTTATTTTAACTCAAAAAATATTGAATAACTCTTCACCTAGATGATAGAAATGACATAAAATATAGTGTAAGTATTGAATTAACATCTTTTGAAGATATTTTGATACTTGTAATTTCTTAATAGAAGAATTTTGTACAAAAGAGTGTAGATATACATAGTTATTAAGAGTTTATGTATTAATTGAGTTTTAAAGAGAGAAAAGGTATATATTTAATAATTCTTATCAAAATTTTTCCATAATATTTATGATATAGCATTTATTTATTATATATAGAAAATAAAATCAATAATATTAATGTCTGAATAATTACATAAATCAACGTCATAGTTTACGTTACTCATTTCAAATGCAGTTTTAGGGGCTTTTTTCTTTGGATATTCAGTGTCTTATATGAATCCAGCTATAAAGACAGCAGATACACAATTTGATATTACAAACAACAAAGATTTGATAAATGGATTAATAAATGGTAAGAATCTTAATTAATATTTATTAGCATTTCCTGCTTTGGGAGCAGCAGCAGGTGCTATATCATCTGGCAAAATATAAAATAAATTTGGTTTAAGACAATCATTTTTATTTGCTGATTTGATTGGTGTTGTTGGATTTGTTTTTTAATTACCTCTTTATCTCACAACTTTATTGATTGGAAGATTAGTAATAGGATTTGCAGTTGGAATGAATTCATCTTTGGTGCCTCAATACATAAAGGAATTTTCTCCAGAATCTTTATCAGGACCATTTGGTGCTATGTTTCAAATGACTATAAATATTGGATGTTTAGTGGCATTAATAATGGGAATGTAAAAATAATATTGAAAAGAGGTTCTTTAATGCAGATGGTGAAAGCCTTGATTATTTCAGATTTGTGGTTGTATTTCCAATGTTAATTTGTGCATCTAGGATTCTTTTTTTGGCATTTGCTTTTTAGGATAATCCACCTTCATATTATATATATAGAAACAAATATAAAATGGTAAAAAAAATGTATTATAATAGGCTAAAGCAGTTATAAGAAATTATTATAAACGAAAATTCGTTGACTAAATTTTTGATGATTTAAAATAATAAATTGAAGCAAAATAATCTGAATCTTAAGATAATAAATAATAAGACTCAGCCTCATATAAAAGTCGATTATATGTTGGTTGTATTCTTTAAATTATTCAATAATTTAGTGGTATTAATGCAGTACTTATATATTCTTCTGGGTTATTCATTAAAGTATTAAAAAATTTAATTTTTAGATAACAGGAGGAAATAATGAATTAAAAAATTGGCTTAATATAACAGTTGGTTTAGTCAATTTGGTGTTTAGTATGATTGCTATTCCCTTTTTAAAAAATATTGGAAGAAGACCACTTTTATTCTTTGGAGCTTTAGCTTGTTCTGTGTTTTTAGGATTTATTAGTTTCTTCTCATTCTTTGTGCCTGAAGAAGATGATGAAAATTATGAAGTTAACACATCTGCAATTATGGTGATTGTTTTTATGTTCTTATATTTGGCAGCATTTTAATTATCTTTAGGACCTGTTGTATGGGTAATAGAAATGATTAATATTTAAGATTTATGATGCTGATGTATTAGATGAGAAGGGTATGTCTATTGCTGTCTTGTGTAATTGGTTAGGATGTGCTATCGTTGCTTAATTTTTTGGACTTATAAATAATGGATTAGGAATGTAATGGAGTTTTGGAATTTTCTTTATATTTTGTGCACTAGGGTAAAATTATAAAATATATGATTTAAAGGACTGTTTATATCTTTATATATGTAAAAGAGACTAAAGGTAAGAATCCTAAAGATATTGATTAAATGTTCATGTTAGGAAAAGTAGATTACGATGATTGAACATTATCATGAAAATATTAAATAAATTGTATAAATTTAATTATGGGAAGTGCTGTGGTCACATTATAAAAGAATATCTTTGAGCAAGCATCTTTATTTAGAAATAGAAAGACCTTCTTAAATGAGAAAGTAATATCTCTAATATCTTTAGTAAAAATAAACAAATAATCTCCTGAAACTATATTTCTTATCCACATTCGCAGTTTTACTTACAGTATTATTTTATTGATATTAATATAGTAATTGGCAATTATGTAATAAGAGAATGTAATATTTCAAATGTATGTGGATTATCGTAAGAAGATAGAATAGGAAAGAAAGTTTGTAAGAGAAACATTATGACATTATTTTAGTATTAATGTGTATATTAATAATTTTCATATTTTTTTTAGCGATTTTTTGAATTTAAATTAATCTAGATTTATGTTAGAAGAATCATAGGAATCATCTCTTCTTTTATCAGGTATTTTTTTAATTTATTATAACATTTTTCTTTTTTTCTTTTCTTAAACATTTTATCTTGATTAATCAGGTTAATTTAAATTAAGTACAACTTAATTTATTCTTCTACTATTAATTATAGCTATTTTGCTTGTTACTCTAAAGAAATCTGTTATTTTAGTTTAATCTTCTTTTTGGATAATCTTTTAAAAAGGAATCTCTATAATTAATAACAATTTTGTTACTTATGGTTTCTTCTATTCTCTCTTAAGAATATCTTAATTATTATTAACAAAATTCAATAATCTTTTCTACAGCTGGTTTCCCCCAAGTAAATTATTCTAATGATTCATCTACTCTTGGTTTCTTATATTCATTAATTACTTCAATATTAGGAAAATCTGATGGTAATTCCCAATATTTTTTATAATTTTTATGAAATTCTTTATAAATTCTTTCTTTTTCAGGTATATTTTCATAATGAGATGAAGCATTCTCTAATAATACATCAGCTTTTGATGCCCAAGATGTAAATCTTTTTAATGCATCTATATTGTCAAATACTTCAACAATTTCCATAGCATTTACTATACCTACTCCTTTTATACCTAATGTATAATCACTACCTAAAAATAGAGCCAAATAAATTAATTAATCTCTATTTAATCCTAGATCTTATTTTATATACTATATATAAATATATCATAATACCTAAGTATCATAATAAACAAGTGAATTTTTAGATTCAAAAAAACCTTTAAGTACCTTAGTAGCTCCAAATAAAAAAACATCAGAATCTTCTGTAATTACACAGTCTACTAAACCATTTTATTATAGATAAGCACATTAGGCTTCAGCTTCACCAGGAGCTATAATCCAAGGGATTCCAAATAATGCTAAAAGTAATCTAATATCTTCAAATTTTTATTGCATAGTAGTTGAATCAAGTGATTAAAGATTTTAATTCTTTCTAATATTTTCTATCATTTCTTAAGCATCCAATTCTTCACCATTATTATCAGCTTAAGTAAATAATAAATCAATTTATTCATCTGTAATTATTTAATTAGGATTTTATATATTATTTTATTAAATTTTTGGTTTAATTTATTAGATCTCATTTTATTATTTAGGATTAAGATCTAAAAATTATTATTAAATATCTTAAGATAGAAAATTATTCTTATTGTTAAGATCTTCTTTTAATGAATATTATTTAGGTAAACTCTTTTAATTGATTGATTCTTGATTAATTTTGGAATTACTATTAAAATTAGATGAATTTTAGATTTATTAATTTTAGATTTAATTAATAAATAAATTATCACTATCTGAATCATTATCACTTGAATTTGTTTCATCATCTTTTTCACTTATATTATTTTAATTATCTTATTAATTATTAATTACTTCTTATTAAGTTTATTTAATATTCTATATATCCTATATATTTTCTTAATTATTTATTTAAGTATAAGGTTAAATTTATTAAGATTTAGAATCTTCTTTTATTTATTATAATTATCTATATTCTTCATCCATTTTCTATTCAATTAAATCTAAATCAAAACAATCATATTTATCCATTAAATCTTCAACATCTTAATTTTCTATTTAATTTTAATTTTCAGGTATAATTTCTTCATTAAGTTTCTCATGATATCTTCTTCTTAATGCTTCTCTTATATTTTTCAAATGTTCATTTTCAATTTCATAATCTTTTAATTTTCTTTTTGGTTTCTTTTTTTATCCATATAACATTTTAACTAATTCTTATCTTTTTTCTTAATCTTATAAATAAACATAAATATTATTCACTCCAAATTATCCCATTTTTATTATTAAATCTTCATTGTTATTTAAATATTCTCTCAATAATTCACTTTCTTTATCATTATATTATTCTAATATTTTTTCAACTCTAAGTGTTTCTATTTATTTAACAGCTTCTATTCTTATTTATTTAATTTTCTCTTTTTAATCAGCTTCCATTAAAAATCTTTTAAGTGAAAAATTTTAATCATCAGCATATTATCCTTATCTTTCCTCAATTAATTATTCTATAATTTCTTCTTTAGTTTATAAATCAAAATTATGAAATCCTTCAATAGTTCCTTTCAAATAAGCAAATTATAGATTTAGTATATCATGATTTTATTAATCTATAATTTCTTATTCTTCTGGTGGTAATTAAGATTCAGATTCATCTTCAAATACTATTTCTTCTATCAATTCTTAATTATTTTATTATGTTATATCATATCCTTTTTCTATTAATTTTACAACATACTTTTCTGCTAATTTTTATAAATTGATATTGTATTGTTATCTTTATTATGCTCTCTTAATTAATGTTTATCTCTTTAATTCTGGAGCAGGTCCATCAAATACAAATACTGGTTTTATACCATTTTCCAATAAAAACATTATTCTTTTTAAAATACCAATTAAATGAACATTTTCATAATTTACTCCTGCATTAGACATACCATGTAATAACTTTATCATCCATATACTGACATCTATAGCTACTCTTAAACCTCTTAAAGATGTAATTTCTACATTTCTTCCTGCTGCCGCCAATAATTTCCATAAATTATAAACTCCCATTATTTAAAATTATAATATTATTATAAACTCATTAATTCTACAATGCTTCTTCAATATCTATTTCATCTTATTATTCTAAAGGTAATTCTTCATAATTCAATTTCATTTGATTAATACATGGTACAACATTTCCATATTAATCATAAGCTGTAGGTATAGCACTAGTAAACATCCTTACAAAAAATGGAACCACAAATATTACAAAAGGTAAACTCAAAAATCCATACATCAAATGTGAAAAATAAATTAAATTACCAACATAAGGTAACATATAGAATGTATCATCTTTCTTATAATAATAATTATAATAGATATATCCAGTTAATGAACATGTTCCCAAAAAACAGATTAAATCATATATCATAAATCCTGTTAATCTTCCACCTCTTTTTTTAGATTCTTATCTTTTTATTTCATTATTTATGAAATCAGCTCTAGATTTTGTTTTATGTAAAACTGCAAATGCACACCAAATCAAAATTACTTATGTAAAATAACTTATTTATGATAAAATTAAATGATTATCAGCACCTGGACCATGATTAAAACAATAATTTAATTTAAGTCCTTAATCTTTTTCATTTATATAATCATGAGCTGGTCTAAGTGTTGCACAATAAAAGTAAGTAAAAAATCCAATCAAAGCATTTAATATTCCAGCAGTAAAAAATTAAATGTTTTTATAATCCAAAATATAATTGACTACTTAATATTCTTCTGATTTGTCAATTGCCAAAAATATAATAAGAAAAGTGAATACTTGAATTCCATAATAAGGAATTACTTATAAAAGTTTAATAAATAAAAAAGAAGGAGATCTTAATTATTTTCCAGGTTCAATATCAAATGGATATAAAGAATATAATATCCAATTCCTTAATAAATACCAAGGTTTTAACCATTTTATTTTATCTGGTCTTTTAGATAAAGTAATAGTAGGTTCATCTATACTTACTCTTAATTCAAAACGTATTAGATTACTTGCATCTGTCCACAAACTTAAAACTGCATCATTTACAAACTCAAAACAACATTAACTAGGAACAGCTTTTTAAACACTAAGTGAAATTTTAGTTTCCATTTATTTAAGAGATCTTGATATTCTTTAATCTATTTTAAGGGCAATCCATTTGTTGAAACTTTATTTTTATTTCAAAATTGTCTATTTAACACTTGAATCTACTTTTTATAATTGAAGCTTATTTATATTAAATATAAATTGATTACTGTAACAGTCTTTTAAGCTTCATTAACCTTATTAGTTAAATAATCACCTGCAGCAGTTAGATTTGACTTAATATATGATATAGTTCCTTATTTAGGTTTATCTTCAGGTTTGTTAGGAGCAGAATCATCGTTTTTTGGTTAATCATCAATAACATTTGCATTATCACTTTTATTTTCTTGTTATTTAATTTCCTGTTCTTTATTTTCTTCATTCTTATCGATATTGATAGTTCAATACCATTTCTTGATATTATTCAGTCTTCTTTTTCATAATTTGATTGTATTTTTCTTGTGCTTAGTTCTTGATTTTGGTAACAAAACTCATAAAAAAATAAAATAATTAAAAATATAGAACAAATTAAAAAATGTAGAATTTATTACATATACATTCACTCATTCTTATCTTTAATATCCTTCATTAGGTTATTATTCATTATTGAATGCCTTAAGGAAATTTAAGAAGCCTAAAATACTCAATCCTACTTCAATCCACCAAGTTGATGCTATAGTGTCATATCCATCTTGATACTAAATTTATATATAAATGAATTACATATTTTACTCCAACAATCATACCTATAAATACTAATACAAAACCTAACCAAAGACTACCAAGAATAGCTAATTTCACATATTTATGTGTGAAAAAATAAGTTGCAATTAATCCCAAAAATGCTAACATCATAAAAACTTATCCAGAAATTGCGAATCTCACATATGTCAAACTTTCATTTCTATGTGGATGTTCATTCATATATGAATATTCTGTTAATAAAACAATCTCTATCATTAGAAGTGCTATATTGCTTATTGCCAATTGCTTTTTTGCATCCCTATAATAGAATATGTGAATTCATTTACAATTCAACCATGAAAAATGATATTATATATAAATTTATTATTAAATTCATACAATTTGTTGCTATTAAGTGAATTGAGATTCATTATTTCCTACCATTACCATTTAACTTTAATTTGCTTGAGTTGTTGTATTCTATAATTGCTTCTTTGAATCATCAGTTTCATCCTTCTTTTTATTTTTCTCTTCCTTTTTTTTATTATCTTCATTTTATTTATAATTATGCAAATTCACTAAACTCATAATATATAGACACAATTGAATAAACCAAAGTGCCACTGGAAAATTGAAACTGTCTTTTGGATAATTTATTTTATTTAACTAAAATCATAAATTTTATTATTATACTCCTTATGCTCCCATTCCCATTCCTACTAATAATATAAAGATAGAAAATGAGTTTATTGCTAAAATCAAATATAAGATTTTTTGATTAAATTTGTAAATCAAAATAATCTATATAAACCAAGTGATCATCATAAATAGACTTCCAGTTACTGATAGACCTTTAAATGCTTTAAAATCATTCTCATAATCAGTATTTAAACTAATCTATAAATCTATAATTACCTGAAGTCCAAATCAAATGATGCATAATAAGCTAATAATATAATTTCAATTACATTACAACACATCAAACCAATTATTTTATATACATTATCAGTTCTATTTATTTATACATATATACTTACATCTCAAATTTAAATTTCATGCTTTTTACTTTTATTTGAATTCAATTATATTATATAATAAATAAATTCAAAAATCCTTCATGAATATAAGATTAACCATATATTTAAATATTGATGAATTAAAATTATCCTCATCTTTTAATTATTAATAATCATACAATACTATTAATAAAGATACAAATATTATATGATTTATTATTGAAATATCATAAATATTCTCTTATTTTTTATCACACTCAAATATCAATAAATTATTTAATTATGTATAGTTTATTCAATATATAAAATATGCTTACACACAATCATCTATCGTGGAATCTCTATATTATAATTTATACAAATCATTCACTACTCTATCCATTTTCTCAGCTAATTTCTTAGATTTTGCACAAACAGATATTGGTAATTCACCTAATACAGCATAACCACTTATATGATAATAATATCCATAATATGCTTTAACAGGAGTTACTTAATGACATCCCTTATGAGTACAATTTTTAGCTGCTAAATGTTATTCCATTTATAATTTCAAACTATCCCTTAAATTTACTAATTTATTCACTATAGACTCATCACTTTATGTAGATAGATTATCATTTGGTGTTCTTTAATCAATAAAAGATTATATTTCTTCTTATGATTCTTGAATTAATTCTTAACTCAATTAAACCAATTCTTATGATACACTATCATTAATTTAAGATAATTTTCCTCTTAATTTCTCTTATAAATTAGGAAAGAATATTTTTAATTAATCTCTTTCTAATTTATAATCTGTATGCCACATAGCATTTATCAATCTTTTTAATTAATCATTATAAATTTTACTAATATTAATTGGTTTAAATTATTGCAAAGCATCTTTAGTCTTTTCAATTTTTTAAGTTACTTATTTTTTAGTTGTTGAAATACTTAGATCTATTTACTTATTAATTTGTTCCTTTAATGAATCTATAATTTTATTTAATTAAATTCTCATTCTCTCAATATCACCGTTAAATAGTCTTTTAAGATTTGAACCCTTTTTTTCAAAATTTTAATATTCTGCTTCTAATGCATATACTTACTCTTATATTTCAGCATACTTTTTATTAGTTTAATTAACAAATTAGCTTTTTTCTAGAGTCATTGAATTTCCTTTATGTTGATGCAATTATTCTATACAATCAGAACAACAAATCTAAGGATAAGTCAAACAATCAGGATTTAAGCATGTCATCATTTTTTTAGAATGTAATAGTGTTTTACATTGTGTTTTATCATCATCAAATAATATCACACACTTTGACATTGTATTATAATTTAATTTATAATTTCATGAATTTAACTCCGACATCACAAGCAATCTTTTAATCATTTTTTATTTAAAAGACTAAACTACAATCTTCAAACTATGTTCAAAATAAGTCCTCATAACCAAATAAATTAGGTTGCAGCAAAACTAAATAGTTATATGAAAGACCATGTAGCACTATAATATAATAAATTGGAAGTGTAGATTATTCATAAACTCGTTTAGATAGAACTCGAAAAATCTCTTTAAATGAATCTCAATTAACTGTTAGAGGAATTAGAAGGCCATCTAAAATTTTAGAAAATAGTGAATATAATTAATAGGTTCCATAGTTATCATAATATTAATAAAGAAGAACTAGATGGATGTAAGGATCAGAAAAACAATCATCTCCATTTAAATAAATCAATAGTCCTGAATAAGAAAAAGAGATTAAAAATATAAAAAGAATCAAGCTTCAATTATTAATTAAAGATAACAAATATCCTAATTTTAAATTAAATTTAATGAAGAAAAAACTTTTAAATTAGAGTAGAGTTGATGAATATTTTAATGATATGCTTTTTCATTAATAAAAAAATAATCCTGAATTAAGTGATTAAATAAGAATCATTATTACAAGATAAGAATAAACATTAGAACCTCTTGATAGCAGTAGGATAGAAAAAATTAGAAATTAACATTGATTATATGGATTAACATTTTTAATTGTTATTAAATCAAATTAGTTTTATTTTAATAATAACTATAGAATTGTTATAACTTAAGTTTAAATAATAGTATATATTTAACAAATGTATGAAAATGATGTTATCTAAGTTACATAATCTTATGATCTTACTTATATATTTTGGGATGTTAAAACAGAATAACAAAATTAGGATATAAATTATAGAGATAAATTAATAGTGAACAGAATTGATACATCTAAAGAAAAGAAGTATTAGGCTGCTGCTATCAATTTTTTTGACTCTTATTATAATGAGATCTCTTAAATCAAGAAAGTTGTTTATATTTAAGATAGATATAATAATAATATTATAAGAATCGGATTTTTTTAAAGATATCAATTTCGTTTATACTTTTTTTGAAGATTGATTTATAAGAATACATGATTAAAGATAAGTATTAGATTTCAATAATTATGTAATGAATATTAGGATAAAAAGCCAATAAATACAACATTTTTGCATATATATGAGACTGAATTAATTATTAGAGATTAAATTAGAAATGTGGAGATACATAATTATTAGTAAAAAAAGTGATATTGAAATTATTTCCTTGTCCTAAAATTGGTTTTAGTATTATTTCTATTTCCTAAAATACTAATAAGATTATTGCTGCTGATTTACGAGGGCAATTTCATACTTGTTTGATGAATAACATGGACCTAACAGAATGAAATTTAGTGTATAAATTCCAAGCACATCAGCTAATTTTACTGTAGATAAACACTTAAATTATAAACTTTGAATAAGAAAAATTTAAGGAATGCAAATATTCCAAATAGGAATAATTTTCAACTCTATATTGTATTGAATATTGAGAGTGAAGGATTGCGTGTGACTCAGAATATAATATTACAGCTTTATCAGATTTATTTACAAAAATATGGTAAAATGATAGTACTGCTTTACTAAGAATTTTAAAGGGACATAAATATGGTGTTACTAGTTTTTCAATTAATGATATAGCAATTGACTGATATTATTATTATCAACTCTTTTTCTTTTTTATTTATTCCTTTTATTATTCACTTTTCAAACTCCATTTAATATATACTAAGGATTCAATAAGATTGAATATCTATTGATTATAATCATAATTAATACTATCAAAAATGCAAATGGGATAAAGGAAAAGTTTACTACTATTAATGAATTAATTTTCCAATAATCAGCTAATATTATGGTATGCAACTCTAATTATAAAAATAAACTTGTTAAAAACAACTAATTATTCTTATTTAATTATTACATATGAACAAACTTAGATGATTTTGTAAAATGAAAAGATTTATGCATAAATTCCAACAAATGTATTATATTTTAAGATTTAATCTATTTTCTTAATCACTAACACTGTTGTGAAGTTTTTAATTATTTTAAGTACTCCACCAATTAAGACTACCCAATATAAATGTTAATCTTCAATATGTTATAGTATGATTGAAAATAACAATAAATTTTTACAAATTGATTACATTGATTTTGAGCAAATCCATTTTGTTTTCTCAGTTGTTGGAGCAGCTATAAAAATTTCTATTGCAAAAGCACCTACTAATGCAAAAAATGTATTAGTATTATTGTTTGCTGATAAAAATTTACTAAATGCATAAAGCCCAATTTATATGAATTGGAGCAGAATTGTTATCATTTTATTAAATAAATATAAAAGTAATTTATTTTATATTGAGTATTTTCATTATTTACTTAATCCATAAATAAGAAATAAAATTAGAAAGTCTTTTAATTCCAAAAGCAATGAAATCAATTTATTGGCCTTAGATGAAAATTTGTAAAATATTCTGCTAAAATAATCATTTCTAAGTTTATGCTGACAATTCCTTCACTTAAAAATAAATTTTTGGAGTTTGTACAAAAAAAGAATGTAAAGAGAAATTAGTATGTGTTGAATGTCAAGATACTTTTCATAAAGATCATATAGGAATGATCTTATCCTATGAATAATTAAAAGATAGAGTAAATCATAGGTATTCTGATATTGTAGCTTCGTCTATAAATGCTGAAATATTACAAGAACAATTTATTTGCCTTTATAAACAATTATTAGATTCAATTAATATTATTGAAATGTAATTTAATGAAAACTTCATAATTTATCAATAGTTTCAATAAACTCAAAATATTATAAGACTCATATAATAAGATAGATATTATGAAATAACAAATGAATAATTTAATGTTTTTTTTGAAGTTCTTTATGATTAGACATTAGATTATTAGTAATTTGATTCTCAATTCAAATTAGTATAAAATTAAATGGAAACAGCTATTGAATGTTTAGAAAAATTAAATTCATCTATCAAAAATTAACTTAAGCAATATAATTTCTAAAATATCATCAATCAAAATATTAATTAAGAAATAATCAAATAATTTTATACTTAAAATCCATTAGATTTTTCATAAATACCACCTGAATTTAATTGTTAAAATTATGGATAGATTAAAGAATTTAAAAATTAAAATGAAATTTATTTTGGAGAAGTAGATGAAAAAGCACAAAAACATGGAAAAGGTAATTTAAATTAAAGTAAAAATTAGGAATCTAAATATAAAAGAAAGGAGATATAATATATGAAGGCATTTGGTAAGAAAATTAATTAAAATGGGGTTAAAAAACCCAATTCAATGAATTATAAGAATGTACAATCTTAAAGGGGTATATGAAAGATAAGAAATTGAATGGACAAGGAACTAAGATTACTTCTTTTGGAGATCTGTATATAAAATGAATTATATAGGTATGAGGGATAGTTTATTGATGATAAATTAAATGGAGAAGGTTATTCATAGACAAATGATGGAGAAATGTATTAATATATAAATAAATAATAGATACAATGGAAGTTTTAAAGATAATAAAAGACATGGACAAGGAAAATTGTATAAAAAAGATGGAGAATAGTATATTATAATATTAAATTAGTTATATTGGATCTTTTAAAAATGGTAAAAAGAATGGAGATGGATTTTTGAATCTTACAAATGGAGATAAGTATTGAAATATATTCAACTCAGTTATTCAGGTTGGTTCTAAGATGATAAATTTAATGGGAAGGGTGTATATACAGTTAAAAAAGATAATTCAAAATTTAAAGGACATTTTTAAAATAACAAAAAGGAAGGAAATTTTGAAATAATTTATAATGATAATTCTTTGTATTTATTTATAATATTTTAAGGGAAACTGGAATGTTTTAGAATGATATCAGAAATGGATAATTTAGATTTTATTCTCCTAATTAATAGGTACCATTAAGAGAAGTCTAATATAACAATGGTAAAATTGTTAAATGATAAAATAAATTTGAATAAATATATTGTAATTATATAATTTTAAATTTGAAATGGAAACATAATCATTCTCCCCAATGTTAGATAGAGTCATGGCTCAAGAAATTCAATCAGTAAGTTGGAGTAAAACTATGGATGTTTGTGCAATCCTATATATTAATAACTAATTGGAAATATGTAGAGTAAGTGAATAATTGTAAAGGATGTTCATAATATAAGAAGATGATGTAATTAGTAATATTATTGTGGAAAGTATTATAATTTATATAATTAGGTATGTTTTTGGCTTACAATGTTGCAAATAAATTATATATTTATCATTTGGCTTCTCATTAAAAAATCATTCAATCTACTTTGATTAAGAATTCAGATAAAATCATTTAAATGCTTCTTGTATAAGTGAATGCAAAAATTATTAAAGAGCAGGAATTATAAGCAGCTATAATTCCATTATCAACCACAAATTTGTAATTTCTTTATTAATTAATAGAAAAAATTGGTAAAATCTTTGTTTTCTAAAATAATAATAAATAAATAATATCATATTCTCTTTAACTAATAAATAAATTTCATATAATTTTAATGGAATTCTACATTTAGGAGAAATAGAACATAAAAGCATAACATAATTATATCAATTAGAAAATGAATTACATTGTTTTTCAAATTCATTTGTTGAAATTTATGATATTGGCTTATTGAAACATCAATAAATTTTAGTAAAATCTATAATTTATATAGAAATACATTTAATAATTGAGCTATTTAAATGAATTACTTTGTTTCTTAAAAACATCAATTTTATTAATTAATACTTAATTATAAGATATCTTTAAATGCTACTAATTAAATATAATAGGTCCTTTGGTAGCTTTTGGACCATAAGAAACAATTAATTATCATATATTATAATTTTATCAAAAAGGAAATTGTCCTTAAGAATTGGTTTAATTTTTTCAAAAGGAACTATACAATACAAAAATTTTATAAAAAATGGATGATGTAATATAATTATTTTATAATTTTAGAATATCACAAATAGCTTCAATAATATTTAAGAAATAATATAAGATTCATTAATGAATGTTTTATCTAGAATTTTAATCATTTTAAACTTTTTTATTTAATCAAAAAACATGTAAAAATTTAGATGATATTATAATTTAGGCCCTTTTATTAAGGATTACATAAAACTCCTTTTGAAGAATTAAAATAAACAATTTAAAATATTTAAAAAGTTTTTAGTAGATTTTAGATTGAATGTCATTAGACTAAATTACATTTGAGAAACTTTTTTGTTTGGCTAAATTTATGTGCAATAAAAGCAGGAAATGAATAAGAAGTTGAATGTGAGAATGTTAATTCTCCACTTAATAAAATAGAAGTAGATCTATCAAAATTATTTGATTTTTTAAAGGATAACCATTTATTTTAATTAAAAAATTTATAATGTTTCTATTAAGAAAAAATAGGTATAAAATAAATTGATTTATATAGCACCAAAAACATTTTTTACAAAAATAGTTATATAGAAAAATGTTGAGTTTAAATAAACAGAAAATATTACTAAGATTTTAAAAAATGTATTTAAAGATAGTTATATGGATAACATTTAATAAAAATAAAGTAAAATAGAATAAGAAGATACTTTTGTAACAGTTAATTCTTTGGTTCGCTAATTACAAAATTATTTAGATAAAATAGCCATAAATTTAAAACCTCAACTTATAAACAAAATCAACATTGATCTTTCAAGTTCAATAATTAGATTTTCAGAATAATCAGAAAATTCATATATGTTATCTGTTTTAGTAAACAATTCAATCATTCAATATATATATTAATTAAAGAGTTTTTAATAATTAAATTAGATTTAATTCAATAATAAGTATATTAAAGAATTATAATATTTTGATGGAAAACTAATCATTTTGAGTACAAATCAATAAGAAAATTAATAATAATTAATTGCTTATATTTCATCAGAAGATTTAGAAACTTAAAATAAATTTGAATGTCATTCAATAAAAGATCTTTAAGTTAGTAAGAAAGGACTAATATCAATCATCATAGATTCCAAAAAATTAATAATTCTTTCCATTTGAATATTATATATTTATTTAGTAATGTAAATTTATTTATTTATATATGTAATATCAATTCTACTCTTATTAGGCTGCTTATAACTTCTATAATAGTGATACTTTACTTCTTTTTTTAATTCAGCAATTTCTCTCTTCAATCTAATGTTTTCATCTTTAAGTTTTTCATATTCTAATTTGAGTTTGTCTACATCAATATCAACAGGTGATCCCAAATACTTTTTAACATAGCTATTAATAAATTTAATAAATACTCAATAGCATTGTTAGGCTTTTCTGGTTCTTCATATAATCCTACTAAAACTCTTGTTAATTGATCAATTACTCCAGCTTTTTCTAAATATTTTCTGAATTCTTCTTTTTTGGAATCAGTTGTCTATCAAATAAATTTTTAGTAATTACTTAGAAACTCATTGAAAATATAATTATTATATTATTATTATGTTTAAAAAAGTGAAAATTATATAAAATAGAATATTAATTAGATTAAGAATTGGAATTTAGTCAATTAGATAAGTAATTAGGATAATTTTAATTGTTAAATGATTATTATTATTATAGATTATTTAAATATTAAATAATTATAAAAATGGATTTTAGTAATGAGCTTATAAATTTCATAAAAGAGTTGGCCCCAAGAATGAGTAGCTAAGAGATTAATAATGAATTAAAGAAGGCTCATGGCCGAATTGATTATGATCCAAATTTAATGCATCATTAATGCAATAAAAGCTAATTACTTAGCTTCATTGAAACAGAATCATTACAAGCAATAGAGGAAAACCAATAAAAAAGCAAAGAGATTTAAGCATATTTGGGGGATATAGTTAAAAAATGGTCTTAATAATGTGCAAAAGAAAAAAGGATTAATGAGGATCATTTAAAATATTGTTCAGCTGTATTGTTACCTTATGGATCAGTATTATTAGGAGTGGCAGATAGTAAATCTGATATAGATTTAATTTGTATAGCTCCAGAATTTATTGATAGAAGAGAGTAATTTTTTAATGGGTATTTATGATTGAAATATATAAAAGATTATTTTATTTGTTATCAAATGAATAAGGAATGGAATAAATAAATAAAATAGAGAGTACTTCAAATCCAATTATAAAAATGATTTATAAAGGATTTCATATAGATATTAATTTTGCTTAATTAAATTCAGACAGAGTTCCAGAAAATATAGATGAAAATTTAGATGAATTAAGAAGAAATTTATTATAAAGTGAAGATAAATCAATGTATGCTTTAAATGGTAGAAAGAATGGTATTTTAATTAGTAAATCAATGCCTGATCATTCATAATTTGTTTAAGCTTTAAAAATAATAAAATAATGGGCAAAGAAAAGAAAAGTGTCTAGCAATATAATTGGTTATTTAGGAGGTATTAGTTGGGCAATCTTAATGGCTAAGATTTGTTAATTATTTCCTAGAGTAGATGTATGTTAAACTGTAAGTTTATTCTTCTAAATTTATTCTTAATGGAATTGGAAAATACCAGTTGTTATTGATGAATCTGAGTATTATTTTATTTATTATTAATTTATAGTCCAGAAATAGAAACATTTAAAACATTATGTTGGAAGAGAGATGAAGATAAAAGGAATGATAAAATTATGTAAATTATAACACCTGCATATCCATTCTTTAATACAACATTTAAAGTTAATAAAATCACTTTTCAAACTATTTATCATGAATTCTAAGTAGGAGCTTAAAAATTAGGAGATTGGAATGAAGTATTGAAACCATTTGATTTTTTTGATTGTTTTTAATACTTTGTTGCAATATCTATAGTTTCAAAGAGCTCAGAAAACTTTCATAAATGGACTGGTTTTTGTGAAGCATAATTACCTAAACTATTAAAATTAGTAGGACATAATGAAGCTACTTATGATACTGAAAGTTTTGAATTGAGAATAACACCTGACGGAGAAGAAAATCTTGAAAGAGATTATGCTAAATCTCTTACATATTTCTTAGGAATTAAGAAATTAAAACCAGAGGCATGGCCTTTATTTTTAAGGATTCCAATTACTTAATTTGCAATAGAATTAAATTAAAGAAAATTATAGAATTTTAAAAATGAAGATGAATTTAATATGAAAATATATATTGCTAATGTTACTGATATTGATTAATTAAGAGGAAAATTATCACCAAGAATGTATGATGATGAATATTCTATTGTAAAAAAGATTAAAACTAATCCAGAAGATAAAAATGGTAGTGCTTATTTGGTTAAGAGAATATCTTCAATTTAAAGCAGTGGAATCAATTAAGATGTATTAAATGATATGTTTTGATAAATTTATAGATGTGAATTTGCAAATATATATAATTATTATTTTTTTAATTCATTTTAATTTTTATAAATTATTTATTAATGTTTATTGGTTTCCACCTGTCCATCTCTCTTTCTATTGTCCATTTTCATATATAATAAATGTTGGAATACTAGTCACTTATAATGAATCTGCAATCTCCTTGACCTTAATAATTCTCATTTGTAGGTTACCTTATCAATATTCACATTATAAAAATTTATGTGAGGATGTTATAAAGATAATTAATGAAATAGTGGTTTTATAGTCTTGCATGGACCACACCAATCAGTATAAAAATCAACAATACTAAATGGACTACTCTCTATAAGACAAAAATATGTTGCTAAATCATCAATAGGAGTAACATTAGTATCTGTTATTGATTATTGTTATGGTGGTTATTAAGCAGGTTAAACCTTTTGATTCAAGGAAACAGGTTATGATGATTGGGGATGTGGTTAATTTATTATTTAAGGATTAATATATTAGAAACTTGATGGTGCCTATTATTGTTAATTCTAAAGATCAGTAAAATGTTCAGTTTAATCCGTAGCCTATTTATTAGTAATTTACTCAATTATAGGTTTAAGCATTTATCCTAATTATGTATTTAAAAATTCTTAAGGTAATCCTAATGTGAATTGTAATATATAGATTACCTGTTATATGTTCAGGAATACCTTTACCAACTAAAAACATGGCACATTCATTAGTAAAATTATTGCAATTATTTTCAAATAAGTCATATTTTTCCATTGTATATTTAGAACTTATACTTCTTAAGAATTCTTCAAATGTACTTTGAGGTATTTCTGTTTCTCCCAATTCTCTTTCCTAATTTTTAGAATAAATTATATAACCTCTATAGGATATCCATAAATAGTTGATTTTGGAGTTTAAGCACAAATGCCTCCACCGAAATAATATTCTTTTCCATATACTACAATTCCAGTATGCCATATAGCATCTATTTGTTTACCTAAAAACATAGGTGAAAATTATCTGGCCATTCCTTAAGATAAATCATACATATTTAGTGTCACCTTATATTTATGATTATCCATTTTGAAATTATTATATAATACAAAAATTAATCAATATTTTTTTAATTCATAAATATAATAGAAACTCAATAACATAGTTATATTATTTTCTAAAGTCTATTCAATCTCAATTAACTAAATTGATCACATAAAAATCTCTAAAATATTACTTATACACAATTAATTGACATACTAATAATAAATAAATTTAATTAACTGAAATGAACAGAGCTAGGTTTGATGAAACCAATCGTAAATTTTAAGTATTTCTTATTTCCTATTCATAAGGAATATCAAGCTGAATTCAAAATTCCAATTCTACCCTCCAGTCAATAAGAAAACTTTAATGCTTAAACATTTTATAGACTTTATCCTGAATTGACTCCATTTCATGCCATAAAACCACATCAAGCTCAAGCCTTTAATCCAGAAAAGACTAGACTATATATAGAGAGTTTATAAAAGCAAAATCATGAAATAAATTCTGAATTAAGACAACAAGCTCATGATATTGTTACTTTGTCTTAGATGGTTAATACATTGATTGATGAAAATAGAAGTCTATCATTACTACTAGAGTAAAAGGATTTAGAAATGCATTCCATAGTTGAAACTATGACAATAAATGAAGCTGAAGAAATCTCAGATCTTAGGCATTAGTTAAGAATTTTGGAGGATGAAAATTCTGTGCTTTTAAAACATGTTTAAGAATAAAGATTGTAATTAGATGATAAAATACAAGATGGTTATGAATTAGAAAAACAATTCTAAAATTCAAAAAAATATTGTCTTTAACTTGAATAATAGATAGAAAAACATAAGTTATCTGAAATAGCATTATCTGAATAAATGCAAATACTTAAAGAAAATTTTAGAACTGAAATAGAAATTAAAAGTTCTTATTAATTTGAAAATCAGAAAAAGGATAGTGTTATCACATCATTAACATTTACAGTTGAAAAATTAAATAAATAATTATTATAATTATCATCAGATTATGAAAAATTAGAATTAGATAAAAATGAATTACATTCTCAAAGCAATTTGAAACTTTATGAATTGAATCAATAATTAGATGATTTAAGTAATGAATTATCAAAATATCAAATTACAAATGATTAATTAATTCAAGAAATCAATTAATAACATGAAAAAATTATAGGTTAATAAGAGTATTGTGATAAAATGGCTGATTAATGTGATGAAATTATGAATAAATTAACAATGGAAATTGAAAAATCATAAAAACTATAAGTTAATGAAAATAGATTATAAGAACATATTGGATAATTAAGCTTATAAAATACTGAATACTATAATAAATTAAAATTATATTAAGAATAAATTAATACATTTATTGATCAAAATAATGAGGATTTGGAGAATTAGAAATTAAAATTTGATTATATTAAATAGGAATTAAAATAAGAATATTTGAATGATCTTAAAGGAAAACAATTAGAAATTTAGGAACTTGAAGAGTAGAATACATAAATTTCAAAAGATTTGAATAATGTTAAGAATGAATATGAAATGCTTAAAATAGATTATGAATAAATTAAAAAAGAAATTAGTGATTATTAATAATAAAAAAGAATCATTGAATAACTTTAATTATAAAACAGACAATATAAATTATAATTGGAAGAAAATAAGGCTTTATTATAAGAATTTGTATCACATAAAGGTGGAGTTTAAGCAGATATTGAGGAAAGAGATAAACATATATAAAAAATTATAAATTAAAAAGATGATAGAATTGCTGAATTAGAAAGGGATTTTTAAATGTATTATGAAAAATGTGCTATTCTTTAATAACATCAAAAGAATAATGAACATTTAGAATAGTTGAATTTTAATTACAGAGAATAAAAAGAATTATTTGAATAAGAAAATGAAAGATTAAAATAAGAAATTTAAAAATTACAAAATTAAATAAATAATTATGCAACTATCTAAAAATAATAAAAATTTAAAGCAGAAAAATCAATAATTGAAGAAAATTAATAACTCAGAAAAGAATTAAATGAATTGGGAAATGAATTACAAAAATTAAGAGATTAATAAGTTAATATGAATACTTTACCTATACCTCCTAAATAAGCTAGTGAAGCTGGTAGTAGAGTAAGATAAGGAGGACCTTCTTAAGATTTCTAATAAACCAAACAAAATTAAGTCTATCTTTAACCATAATAATAAATCTAAGTATGAATATTTATATATAAATTAAGCCTACATCTCCACATCATTCATAACATTCACCTGTTCTATCAAGAAGAAACATTTAAGAATCAGATGATGGGTCTGTTAAAGGAGGAGGTAATACTTAAGATAAAAATATGTTAATCTCTTTTACTGATGATCAAATTAAATAATAATAAATTTAAAGATAAAGAGATAGAGAAAATTCTTATCATTCTAATATGTCAAATGCTCCATACAGAAGAAAATCATAATAATAATGATACTATTATATAGAAATATATTTATAATATTTATAGATAAAAATATTCAATTTTATTTTAATTATTCAAGTAAAAATTTTCTTATTTCAGAAGGAGTTTCTAAATTTAATTATATTTCACTTAATTTTAACATATGTAAACAAGTATATGGTCCACAATCATATCCATTATTTTAGTGTATACATTAATCAGAAATAACTATTTTAGTTATTTACTACTAAAAAATAGTATTAAGTATATCTTTGAAACAATTGTATGATTCTTCTTTATATATAATGGAATCCATAACAATCATTTGATAATTTTTCAAATTTAATTAAATTAAAAACCAATGAGTGTTATTTCTATTAACAATAAAATTAATTCTATTATATATCTTTTCTATTTAATAATCAATTTTCTTGTATTCTAGAAAATGATTTTTAAAAATCTATATATTGATATCTTTTGTATTATTCTTCATTTATGTAAAAACATAACTTGGAACAAATATTTATCTTAAAGCCTATTTTCTTTAATTAAAATCAATTTTAAAATATTGTTCATCAATTTATATATTTAAATATAAAACAAAGCTATCTATTATTGAACTTGTGAACCATCTATTTTTGCTCTTTAATATTTTTATATCATTTTATGAAATCAATTAATTAAATTTTATCCATTACTCTATTTATCTTTAATTCTCTCTTCTTTTTAGATTTGATTTTATTATTTTATCATCTTCTTTTATAATAATCGTAAAATGTGTTGAATGATCATCATTTTACTATAATTGTTAATTATTGTTTTAATCATTATTCTAATTTTATTTCAATTCACCTTGTTACCATACACCTTCTTAAATAACATTCTCAGATTTTGATCCAAATAATTTACCTTAGCCATGCTTTAATCCATTTTTAAATTCACCTTCATACAATTCATATTTTGGATTAAAATTACTATCATAACTTACCTTGTATGAAAATCCTATACCTGTATAAGCTTTAAAATTTTTATTAAAGAATTAACCATATAATATTTCTCTATCTTTGCATTTAATCTAATATGATAAATTTTACGAATAACCAACTAAAAAATCTTCATAGTGTCTTATAATGAATTTAGGTTGTTCTGTTTTTAATGTCTATGATGGTAAGAGTGGAGAGTTTTTCTTTTAAAAAATTTTTGGAAAATAATCTTTAATATATTAGATATTAGCAACATCATCTTGATAGTCATCTGTTAATTTTTTAAATACTGCTTTATATTAGTTATAATAGTAAATCAATCTTTCCTTTGTCAAAAAATATATAACTAGAATCAGAAATAGAGTAATCAGGATTTGAAAATTGATTAACATCTTATGTTATTTATTAATTATAATATTAATAAGATAATAAAATTCACACAGATTTAAATTCTGATATTACATCAGAACACTTATTAAAATTTTGAAATAAAGTTATTTTGTTAATTTCTTTATAATTATTTATATTAATAAATGAAATTTTATCATTCATAACTCAGTTCTAAAAGTTTTATAGCCTATCATTTATTATCAATAACAACAGGAATCTTTTTCATACTACCTTTAGTATTTACATAGATGCAATTCATAGTTTGTACAATCACTATGGGAATTTTTGGAATATGTCAATGCATTATTTTTAGCAGATTTTAGAAATTACAAATTTACATGTATTCATTTATATTATCACTCTCATTATTACTATCAAACACTTACACTAAAGCTTTAATAATTGGAACTTGTTTAGGGTTGATCATCAATCTGTAAAATTAATTTACTTAAATATTGCAATTTCAATTTTTATAAGAATGCCAATATTTTGGACTCCTTCTCTATTATTTGCTTATCAAAAACATTTCAATATAATCAATATCCATATTTACATTCATAAGCTCCTCAATTATAAGATTATTATTATGTGATTATAATATAGATCTAACAAATTCTAAACCATAACCATTAATCATTAAACAAAAATAATAATACTTATCAATATTAGGTTAATTTATTATTGATTTAATATTTTTTGGAACATTATATTTATTATATTAGTTTTAAAATCATTTAATTATTATAGCTTTAACTTTATTGTTATTTGCAAGCATAATAGTTAATTTATTTCAAAACTATTTAAAATAATTTACTTACCCTATTCTAATCATACAAGTAAAATTAAATATATCTAATTTAGATAATAGTCATAATTTAATTAATTTTTATAGATGTATTTATATTGATTCCTTTTGATATTATTATCATAATATTGTTTGTGTGTAGACCAATAAATGATATCTACTTAAAAAATAATCTAGGTTTTGAAATTTATTAATAAGAGCATTCTAATACTCTAATTATTAGTATAATTTCAACAATTTTTGCAGCCCTTTTGATATACTGATTGTAATTACAATTTAATATTTTATATCAATTGATAATTTTATTCTTTATTTATTCAAAGTTAAATAAGAAATAAAAATAATAATAATAATGAAATAAGTATTTTTAATTCTCTGTCTTATTTCAATTATTATTGTTTTCACTAATGGTGTTCAATAGACAAATTTAAAAGACCTAAAAAAGAGGAGTAATTAAATGACAAAGAAAAATCAAAACAAATAATCTTCATAAAAAAATACTAAACCTTTGTGGACTAAATTTAAAAATAAAGATAAAACTTCAAGAAAAAATCTTAAGGAAACTTAATTATAGATTTTAAACGTTTTGAAACCTCTATTTGGCGTAATCAAATTTGTAATAAATGATCATAGTTAAGAACAAAAGATTAAAATCGAGATAATAATGGAAAAGTGATTAACGAAAATATTACAAATGATATTAAGGATTAAAATAATACTAGTAAAAAAATAAACAAAAGTAATAAAATGAATGATAAATTCCTTTTTTAATGGGATTAAAAGATGGGTGATTTTGAACCAGAATTTATATTAAGTTTTGATTTAGTTTCTGATAGTATAGAAGTATATCTAATTTATATTGTAGGTGTTTTATGAAGAAATCTTAAAACCAACAACTATAAAAGGAGCCTTTTTTATTTCTTAATTTAAAATAGAAGACAGAATTGATTTCTTTATAAAAAATTCAAACAATCAATTGATTTATTCAAAGGAAAAAGTAAAAGAAGCAATTTTTAATATTGATATTTTAGAAAAAGGAGAATACAGATTTATATTCTAGAATAAAAGAGTATGAGAATCGCTATAAACTTAGTCAAAATAAACCAAAACTGTTACCTTTACTCTAGATGTGCATGATTCAGAATAAGAATTTTTGAAAATGGCTGATTTAGATCCTTTAGCACTTAGAGTAGAAAGAATAATAATGGCTATGAAAGTATCTATATATAATATTATAATAAGGATAATTATTTTTTTGATAAAATAACAGGATAATAATTTGAAGGTAATTTATAAGAAATCTAAAATTCAAATAATAAATTATTACTATTTAGTTTTATTGAAATTTTAGGTGTGATCTTTATAACTATTTGGTAAGTATTTTATTTAAAAAGAATGGTTGGTAATCAAAGATTATTTTGAGCTTATTTACATTATAATAATTTTTATAAATATAATCTTTAGATTAATTTATATGTGATTATCAATTAATCTTTAATAATTATTATATTTTTAGATATTAAAAATAATGAAATAATAATCAATTTCTACACCTACAGCTTAATTTGGATTTAGACATTCTCTATAGATCTAATCTTCTCCAAATATTAAACTATATTAATAGTCTCCTTATTAATCACCTTATTCATCACCATTATTATAATAACCATCTTTATCATAATAAAGATAACCAATAAAATAAAGTAATTTTGGTAATGTTAATAAAACACTATTTAATGATGGTCAAAATTAAAAGAGCAAATAATTATAATTAGTAGATTTGAATCATATTGAAGAACCATGGAAATAAAAAGTTTTAGAATTAGAAAGAAAAGTTTAATAATTAGAATAATAATAATAAAATGAAGAATGTGATTAAAATGAGAGTGAATTATCTCAAGTTTATAGTCAAATTTAATAGTTAGTGAATACTATAAAAATATTATAAGAAGAAATTTAAAATTTGTAAGAAAAATTAAACATTAAATAACATATTATTGACGGTTATAATTCATAATTAATATCAAAAGATAAAGAATTAGAAGATTAAAATACTTACATTTAAGAAATACATAATTAATTAGAAGATTAAACTTTATTAATAGAAAATAAATAAAAGTTTTTATTTGATGAAATCAATTCATGGAAAAGAAAGTTTATTGAATAAAATAGGTATATATTATATTAATTATTTTAGAGGATTACATAAAATTTAAGAAGAATCAATTATGCTCTAAACATAAATTGATAATCTTAAAAATATTAAATTGATGTTAAATAAATAGAGTGAATAAACATGAAAATATACTTTTTGTTCTCATTAATTACTATCTTTATTAACTGATTAAATTCTTTAATAATTATTTATTTATTTATCTACATTGTAATGTGGAAAATAGTCATCAAACTGACTAATTTTTTCAAATGATTACATAAAATTACCTTCTATAGATGTTCTTCTTCTCTTATGATTATCAAATACAGAATAATTACTTATCATAGTTTAATTTTTCCTTAAATCTCGTTTTTATTGTTTCTATTGAATATCTGTTTAATATTTCTAATATTGTGATTATTTATCTGTTCTATTCTTTTTGTATTTTATTCTAGTTTATAATAAACTATCCTAAACTCTCTATAAAGGATTGCATTAAAAAGATGATCCTTGCATTTCTTCTAATTAACCATATTTTTAGAATTTAGATTACCCTACTTCTTTACCTTCATTTTAAATTATTTTTCTACTGCTATTACTGCTGCTTATACCTTAAACAGAAAAATGATTATCTGAATCCATTTTTTTAGAATAAAGTGTTTATCCACTATGAGAATAGCTCACATATGGAACCGAACTTAATTCAAGTTAATTTATTGGATAATTATTATTATTTAAACTTAATGAAGAATTTTATGAAGGAAGAATTTTATTGAAAGGTGTAACCTTATCCTTTTCTTCTGACTCAAAGGATTCTGAATCTTCCTAAGTATTTCCTGATTTAATAATTATTTTCTTCTTTTTTCTCTGTAATTCCTAATATCATATTATAAAAGAATATTACTCTTTTGAAATCTGACACTCTATTCTATTCTTTATGAATTTTATAACTATTAATTATAAAATATTTATTAGGCTTATAATTTATAAATGGACATTATGTTAAATCATGAGCTTAATGACATCCATAACAAAAAATATTAGCCAAATATGGATCATTATCTAATATAATAGTATCTACTAACATTCTGTATTTTTAAAATTCTCTTGGACATTATTTAATTAATTAATGAAATAATTATGAATTCAAACTAGCTACTTTTGAGTGTCCTATACTCTCAAATTAAATTCCTTACATTTAATTTTTAAAAAAGGCACTATTATTAAAGATTGAAAAAGGATTTCTAATTTTTGTTAATTTAAATTATTATAACGATGAATCACTTTTTTAAACTAATTGAATTATTCCTTGTAAATGAATAAATAATTCTTGTTTTTAAACAATAATTTCATTTGGTCTTAATATTTATTCTTAAATTAAATCACAAATATTTAGAATAGTCTATTTTGAAAATGATGTATTAAATATTGGAATTTTAGATAAAATCTTATAATATTTTTCTCTCTTCATTTTCCTTTATAAAAAATTAGGCATCAAATTAATATCAAATATATTTTGTTTATTTAAATTACTGTATTCATATATTAATTTTTATGTATTTGGCTAGTAATTCAAGTATGAATCAAGTTAAATTGACTAATAATTTATGATTTATTTAAACTTATAAAAATAAAATATTATCAATAATATTTTAATTAAATAAATGAGAAAGTAATATTGACCTAATATTTAAGGAGTTATGAATATTAAAGTAAATATATTTTGTATATAAACAATGTAATCTTATTAGGATAAAGTGAACATAAAAATTATTGTTTAAGCAAAACAAGTGGAAAAATGTAATTAAATGGTTGTCTAGATAATAAAAATAAAATCTTATTAATTAGAGTAGAAATTTAAATTCTGAATAAAATTATTAATTTTTCTAAATTTGATCAAATACAATAAATAAATTAACTTCTAAGATTATTAATTATCAATTTAATAGGAAATAAATGGTATTAATCCTAAATTATCAATTATTATATTAATTATATTTCCTTTATAAGAAATCATTTGATATGAAAATTCCATTATTTAAGTAATTAACATTATGTATTAGAATATAGCTAAATTTGATATTACTAATTAATTGCACCCAATTTCAATTAACAAGACTGTTAAATAGAATAACAAAAAAATGAAATATATACTAAATATGATAAGTTTAGGAGCACATTCACTTTTAAGGAACTTTTCTATTTAATCTTTTAATGGGACAAAGTATTATGCTGACAAATCATTTATCAACTTAAATTATCTCTTTGAAATAATTAAATTAGAAATAAGTGTTGCTTTCTCTCTGTAAAGTAAAGACAATGATGATTAAGAGTTTCTATGTTTATTAAAGATAGATTTTCTAAATAATTAATCTGAATCATTCTATTTTTTTATCATACTAAGTTATTAAGAATCCTCCTTATTGCTAGGTTCTTCATTTATTAGAAGTAAATCCTATTAATTATGTGGTGATGCTCTATCTGATGCAATCTATACACTAACTTATGTTAAAGTAGGAGATTTTGGATGAGTAATTTTCACCTATTGTGTTTCAGATTGAATTTTTCTACTTTCTTCAGAAGGCTTACGCACTCTCATTTATTGCTAATTCATTGTTGACATGATCTGGATAATAGGTTTGCATAGAGAGTCCTCATTTGGAGGAGTTGTTGTAGAATTTTAAATCATTATTTATTATATTAAATCATGCTTATTTAAGATTTGCCATCTCTGGTTATTCAAGAAATTCCTTTAAAGTTTCAGGACATCTGGAAGCACTTAAGCCACCATTTTATTTATTTAAATCTTCATCAAAAATAAAACATAATAGCACAGTGTCACATGCCATTCCATAAATTGACATAAATAGTACAGCTAATGCATACGCTATGATGAATACAACCTAAGTTTATCAATTATATTACAATACAAGGGAAAACTGGTGAGAAAATCTTTTCTTTAAAGTAATCCATAGTTGTAATTACATAATAAAAGATCATTAAAGTGACAATTGAGATGCAAAATTTACCGACAAAAATGAATGCCCCTCCAATACCATTAACTAAAGCAAATCTCATACTATTTGCCCAAATAGTTTCAAAAGCAGCTTTAGCAGCAGAACAAAAGTTTTTACCAGTTAGAGCAATCATAATGTAAGCATTATTATTCAAAAATCTAATAAACCTTTCAAAACATGCCATTAAGCAACTCAAACATCTTAATAAACATTTGATTGCTTTATTTTCAGATCCAGCCACTTTTTCAGTTTGATATCTAACATATTCTAACATGATTCTAATCAGTTATACAATAGCCAAAATTAAAGAACCAAATGCTAATGAACCTGCATGATATCTAAATGCTCTATAGAGAGATTATGAAATAGCTCTTTCATCACCTCCAGCACCTTATTGTGCAAAATACCAAAAACAACAAGTAGAAGCAATCACAAAGTTATTCACAGCTTAAATAAATGCATTTATCCATAATCCACCAAATATGAAATACCAAATATATTATATTTATAATTCAGTATGTGTTACTTCAGCAAAAGGACTATTGCCTGTTCCTTTAATTTCTCCAACTGCATATACATATGCAGCAGTGTAGATCCACCAAAACCAAAGACCTGCCAAGACTATTGCAGTAACTTAAGGAACAAAGATTAATAAGAAATGATCCTTTACACACATAGCTGCAGTCTTAATTACAGCTATAGCTAATCTTATTTTATTGAATATGCAAATTAATCCAATAACAGCAAAAGCACAAATTCCATACATAACATATGTTAAATATTAGAATGTTAATTAATTATCTGATGCTTTATTGGTTTATTCGACTGTATACTTTCCTGTTGTGTCATTCATAATACCTTAGTAATATAGATCTTGTTAATGACACCAATATGTTCCAAATCCCAATCCTACTAAAAAGAGAAATATAGATGTCCAAACTAATACTCCTGCTAACAATCTTGTAAAAAACAAATAAATTATTCTATTAGATAGTTTTACATATATACCCCATTAAAAATGCTACAGCAAATGAACAATAAATGGCTTCTTTTGTTTATGTTAAATCTTCTATGTAACCTGTAAGTACGTCCATGGCAAATTAAGATCCATATTCTTAATAGTTATCAAATATTGCCAATAAGGCATCTGGATAACATACACGATCAAATACTAATATTATATATTTATATTTTACAGATTGATGAATTGAAGATACACAAGAAATCTTTAAATATATCAGTACTATTAGATGTTGCAAATGTCTTTAATGCACTTGCTGCATCACATTTCTATTCACAACTTTTAACCAAAATGTTTGGATTACAATCTAAAGTAGTTGGTTTTGTATTTTCATCTGCATATAAAGGACATTCTTTCACACAAACTGTTCTATTAAAGTAATCTCCATAAGGTATTGCAAAATACAAATATGGGTAATCCACATTTGTATCAAATCCACAAGCCACACCTTTCATTAAATATTTCACATTCTTTACCATTTGGATCATACATTGCAAGAAGTCTTTCTGGTTCTCCTTTAGAATAAGCTTCCTAAGAGATGAATCTACTTTAAATATATTTAATACATCAAAATAGCTATACCAGCTATAAAAAGTAGTAAACAAAGTATATCAGTGCAGCCTCTATCTGCCAAAGGTCCAGCAATAAGTCTAGGATCAATTTATTTCTAATTTCCTTATTGATCTGGTATTGTTGTAAGAGCCTTTTATGAGACCTCAGGGCTTGTAGTAACTTAAGCAACCACCTAAACTGAGTTGGCAGGCAAAACTTTATTATTTTTTCTCATTTATTAATAAAAATTACAAAGTAAATATTATTAATTTAGAAATCTAATAAAATAACTATTAAACAATAAATTTTTTCATTTTTTTAATGCATATTTTTAACATCTTTATGTTTTAAGGGATTTGAAAGAATTCATCAAGAATAATCAATTCTATTTTAAATATATTCAATAAATAAATAGCAATATTTTCAACTGAATATTTAATTTAACAAATTAAAATTAATAAGATAATAATGAATTAAATAAAGTATTTTAATTTTAGATGTAGGAATATAATTATTTAGGTATATAAAAAGCCAAAAATGAATTTATATTAATTATGATAATTAAGTAAAACAAAAAAACAAAGACTTAGGATGGAAAACCTTTATTTTAGAAATATAATTTTTCAAATAATAATACATTTGATTTATAAATTTCATTTTTTAATAATTTTAAGTAATTAGACATTTTACATTAATTAACATAGTTTACATTAAATTAATTCAAAAATAAAATAAAATATTCTATATATATCTCAGATATCTTTTGATCAATTCAAACCAAGATATTAAGTTGATTAAAATATAAGATAAATATTCTTTAATTAATAAACTGGATATTAAATAAAAAAAAAGTAAATTTTTTATTATTTTAAAAGATATAATAGATGATTATAAAATTAAGAAAAATTGAATAATCTTCATTTTATTTTAGGATTATTAATTGCTTTATTTCTTAATAACTGCTGAATTGTTTCCAATTTTAATGGAAAGGCTACATATAAAATAAATAAATACATGGTTATAGGTATTGTTATTCAGTGTTTGTTCTTGGTCTATTTTAAGGAGTTTTATTTTAATGCAGTTATTGTTGACGTTGTTTTTAGGCATTTAGATATGATGAATCAGGAGATCTGTTATTAACTCTATAACTAATAGGAGTGTAAGAATTCTATTATTCAGTCATTACTTATCTTTCTGTTCTACATGCATCTGAAAGTAAAGTCTTTAACTATGTATTATTAGTTGGACTTGATTATTTAATCATATTATTTAGATTATTTTTGATATTATTATTCTTATATGGTTATAATTAAATAGTCATAACACTGTTAATATTATCTTATGTAGTATCAGTATTTATATTACTACTGTTGCAAGGATTAGATTGTTTTTTTAAATAAATACTGAAATCAAAATCTGCTTAATTTTATTATTTTATTGAGTTCCTTTAATTAGTAGGAGAGGAGTCAGATCCTCTTTTTTTATTAATCATTTATTCTAATAGATTGGTTTATATTTTAACAGTTTCACTAATAAGATTTTTAACTGATTATTATTAAGACTATTTTGGAGGTGATCTGGAATTAAGAAATGATTTAATGAAATTACCTGTAAGTTTTGGAGATTGATCTTATTTTTCAAATTTAGTATTTGTAATCTCTTTATTAATTTAAATTTATAACATCTTTCCTTTAACATTAGATTACTCTTATTCTTCTATTATCTTTTCAGAAGCTGTTGATTATAAAGATTCTTCTCTAATAACATCTAGATTCATATTATAATGTTTATGATAGCTAGTAATTAGATGAGAAATATATGGAGATTAATAGGTAATATGTCTACAAGCAATTTCAATAGATTTAAGATGGTATAACTCACTAAGTTTAAATTCTTCAGTATCAATTTTATCATCTTTAACACCATGTTTTTTTGCTTTTTCTAATTCAACAAATCTCAATTCTGTTGCAATTGTAAAATATGAGATTGAAAGATAGATTACTTTTTCTAATAGTTATCTTTTTGCTAATTCAAAAATCATTTCCCCAAATTAAGTGAAATCTTCATAAATTTAAGGTGCCATATGCATAATAGATCCAATATTAAAATTTTTAATCCATTCAGCCAAATTTTGAATACCCAACAAAGATTGATATTCTTCATTTTAAGTCACTAATTTTAATTCTTTTCTATTTGATTTTTCATTATTATCTGGTTTGTTTCTCCAATTATATAATTAACGTTTTGTTTCTTTTAGTAATTATTTTTGATCTAAACGAATAGAGGATATGTCCTCTTATTTAATCATATCTTTTAAAACATCTTATGCACTATCAATGACAAACCTACCTAATTCAATTTCATCTTTGAGTTAATAAGTTTAGCTTTTCTTCTTTTTATCTAAATTATGAGAAGATTCATCTTTATTATTTAAAAAAATAACTTACTTCTAACAGATACATTAGATTATGATGTAGTAGTAGCAGTCCCTTAAGAACCATTAATTTGAAGCCATTACTAACAAAAAGAATTGGCTATCTTAAATAACTCTCTCATAGTTTGAGCTGCTTTTTAAGAATTAAGTAAAGCTTACTTATGTCTATATATTTATTCTAAATTACTTTCCTAATTAACTTAGTATTGCAGTATATTGTAAATAAGCTTTAACTAGAAATGCTTATCTCTTAATAAGTTATGCTTGTTTCTCTTGTACATTTGAAAGAGTCTACAAATCTTGTTCATCTTCTTTAATACCAATTTCCATATTGTAAATAACTCCATCTAAATACTTAGAGCATTTATCTAATATCCATTAACTGTAATAATAAAGATAACTATACCATTGATATGCACATGCTTAATTATATAAGATAATAATGATTAAATTTCTATCGATGACTCTACCGCAACTGGCAGCAAACTTAAATATATATATATTTAATGATACTTCTAACATTTGTTCAGATTATTATAATAATTTCAATGCTTCTTTATGTTTTTATTGTTTAATTTTAACAGTAGCCTATTCATTCAAAATATTAATTTGCTGCATGAAAGAATCTAATAATTTTAGATTTTTTGAAAATACCCTAGTTTTTGAACAATTATTTTAGATTAGTTGTTTGAGTATACTCTTATAAATCTTCATCATCTTCTTCATCATAAGATTCCTCTTCAGGTTATTGTTCTTACTTGGAGTTATTTGAAATTGTTTGTTAATTATTCATTAATAAAATAATAATGGATTAAAAGAAGGACATTATTCTAAAGAAAATTGCTGAGAATGAAGAAACCATAATATAGAAGCTTGCTCCTTAAATTAGATTAGCTATTCCTTTGAAACACAAAGTATAATGTGGTGGAGGCACTTTTGAAATTTACACTCATTATGAGTTATAGCGTAACATAGGAAATGGAGCTTTTGGGTTTGTTTGTTCAGGAAAGGACAAATTGAATAATATTGATGTTGCCATTAAAAAAGTATGATTATCAATTATATATAGATTACAATGGTTTTTAGAGATTTACTTGATGCAAAAAAGGTACTAAGAGAAATTAAACTATTAAGTATTATTATAATTTAAAATTAGAATTCTTTGATAATCCCAACATTGTTAAATTATTGGATATCATTGTTCCTGATGAATAGGATACTTATAAGGATTTATATTTAGTGTTTCAACTTATGCATCTAGATTTAGAAAAAGTCATTTAATCTCCTTAACCATTGACAGATAAGAAGATCAATTGGTGTATGTATTAAATCATCAGTGGCTTATATTATATGCATTCAGCAAATATTATTCATAGAGATTTAAAACCAAATAATATATTTATAAATGCAAATTGCCATATCAAAATTGGAGATTTGAATTTAGCTAGAAAATAAGAGATGGATAATGCATCAATTTAAACTGATTATGTAGTATAAAGATGGTATCGAGCACCTGAAGTATTGTTATCTTCAAGTGAATATACTAAAGCAATAGATATCTGGTCTTTAGGATGTATTTTGGGTGAACTCTTAGGAAGAACTATTTTGTTTAAAGGTATGCATCATTAAGAATAAATTGAAAAAATTGTTGCTATTCTTGGCAAACCTAAATAGGAAGACTTACCTTATGAAATTGATGAATAATCTACTGAATTTCTATAGTAATTGCCAGAAAGAGAAGCTATCAAATGGGCAGACTTTTTCCCTTTTGCTTCTCCATTAGCTCTAGATTTATTAGAACATATGTTAGTAAATTTGTTTTATTTATATAATAAGGTCTATAATCCAAATAATCGATATACAATTTAATAGTGCATTGAGCATCCATATTTTAAATAATAATACATTGATCATCCACCTTAAGTTTGTAAGGAATCCTTCGATTGGTCTTTCGATAATATTGAACTTAAGGAACAAGCCTTACGAAAAGCTCTCTATTAAGAGGCACTTGAGTTCTTAAAGCCAAAAAAATGATAGTAATATTGATTTATATACTTAAATCAAGTAAAAAATTTTCTTTACAAATGCAATTAAGGAAAAGCTTGCATCATATTGATTTTTTTGGGTGAGACCTTTTGTTCTTTTATAAAGAAATTATTCGCAAATGTGAAAGCACATTCATCTCGAGTTATTGGTGAACTTTATTTAGATTCAATCTGTGGCAACATTGAACGTTTATAATTTTAAGATATTGACTGTTTATCTAAAAAGTATCCATAATCATCTGCTGTATTCTATTTTTCATGAGGTTATAGTAAACTACGTGAATTTCTTTAAGATAATAAGAGCTCAGGTATTTCTTTTCGTTATTTCATCCTTGTATCAATTATTTTCTGCTTTTAATTTATTGTTAATCTTAGTCTTTCATTTTCAGAGATTATCCTCTTGATCTATTCAATTGGATCGACTTTTTTAACAGTAACTAATTATTTTTGGGAATTGCAGTTGAAAAAGTTGAATTGATTAGTCTTTTCATCATCTATAGGTGATACTAATCCTTAAAGTAGATTGCTTTCTCGAGATTCCCTCACATTAGTCGATGGTGTCACAAGAGCATCTGTCAATACTCTGTCTAAAATTAACAAAAATCTACATACCAGGAAATTATGGAGCTTTCTTTAACTTAAGTCCAGCCTTTTTTTTTAATATTATTTTTTAGCCTTGATCCTTGCACTTTAGGTCCATATATGATCTTATAAGGTTTAATTTTATATTAAAATTAATTATGCTAATCACTGATATTTTCAATACGACTATTTCAATCAAACTCACTAATTGATTCATATAAACTTTGTATAACAACTTTTAGTTATATCTAAAATGCACCTCAAGACATTAATTAAGTTCTATATATAAACTAAATAAGACAAAAAAATATTATATAAAGAATTAAAATATCTCCTATATGATTAATCATGGCTTAACAATTAAAACGTTATTTATAACCAATCTATTATAAGTAAACAATATTAGAATGAATAGTTAAATTTTTATTTCATTTTTATTTTGACTTCATATATTTATTATTTTGTGAATCTTTCAAATCTTTAAATAATTTAGTGATTTTTATTTTACTATTATAAAAATGATATAATAGCAATCAAAATATCATAATTTAAAAGCTCTTTATAAAATTTACGAATCCTTCAAAAAAATTTAGCCTTAGTCATTAAAGAGTTCTAAATCTTAAAATAAGTCTGAGAAAAATTTTGGCTTATTCCAATATATGTTAGATTGATTAAATTGTTAATCAATATGAACACTTTTTATAGATCCATTCATAGAAACATATATAAAACTATTTTTATATATATATGCATTTAGTTCAATTCTAAAAGTCTTACACATCTACTAATATTATTATTGATAAGATTTTCTATCTTTATCATTTAAAAATAAATATTATATCAAATACAATAAGTTTAACTTATAATTACAAGAAAATCATTCATTAAAAAACTTAATTATGTAATTAATTAAAAAAACTTAAATTTAGAGATAAAATTTATTGTAATTTCTTAAAATATTAGAGTAGCTATCAAACCACTTATTTTTAAATCTAATCCTATAGCATATTATTATTATTACAAATTCAAGTAAATCAATTCTATACTCATTAATTAAATTAATAACTATTTAATTATTTATCTAAAATTTTAATTAATATTGAATTATTTTGATCAATCAATAAATTTAACTCAATAATATATAATACTTTTAAAATTTGAGAACAAACATTTTCGATTTTTTTAATTCATACAAGAATTATTTAATCACTCAATATTTGTATAGACTATCTATACAAAAAAAAAAAGGAAAGGAATATTATTGTTTGAATAAATAAACATTTTAATAAAGGTTTATACAATATATAATAAATTGATTTTATTCAAATAATTGAGTCCTAAAAGCAATTTTCTAAATGAATATTTATTTAAAACACATTCATAAAATCATAAAACTTATTATAAAATTAATTTTTAAATTTCATAATAGAATAATTATTATTTCTATTAAGAAATAAACTGCAATAACTAATTTACCAACGAAAACTAGATTTTGAATGAAGTATAAATGACATAAATAAAGATTCTAACATCCAAAGAGGGAGTATAAATCCATTAGGATTTGATTTAGAACATTTATACAATCACAAATTAAAAAGAGTTTTAAATATCAAGAGCAGCCATATTTTTATAGTATTTACCATTCTTGACCTATAAGAAGGTGAAAGTAAATCTTAAAAAAATAACAAGTTAAAATACCATTTAACGCATAATAGAAATTTTATAAATTTTTTATATTTGAATAAACATAATATGAAATAAAAATCTTGATTTCTCTTACTCTGTTGATTTTGTAATCCTTAATAGATCTCAAATTATAAATTCAGATTGACACTGAATATATAAATTATTTTTAATGCATTAAAAAGGATTTTATATATTTCTTATTTTTATATAATGAGTGTGTTATATAGATATATAAAGGAATATGGAGAGTTTTGATCAGATTTAGTTAAATATAATTTTCTATTAAAAAATGTCAAAGTGCTTATTATAAATATTAGGATTCTAATTTAAATCAGAAATAAATTTAATTAAGAGTGATAGATGGGCTTATCCCATATTTTTGGATATCTAAAAAGCTTAGAAGCCAAAAATTCTTTACATGTAGCAATAGCTTATATTTTGGTTGCATACTTTTTTCATGCTGTGTAGATAACATTTTACAAATCAGCACATTTTACTGTAGTGCCATAAAGTTTATTTTTGAGATCATTTTTTTCACTTACCTTTATATTTATGTTCTAATATAAGGAAAACTATCATCCAAAGAATAGAACTAGATATTTGATATAATCCTAAACGTTAGGAGCTGTTGGATCATTATTTTACTTTTATGGAATAAATTTCATTTCTCTTTCTGAGGGAGCTATATTATTTGCTACAAATTCAATTTGGAGTTAATTGATGGTAAGTTTTATGAATAGAGAAAGAATAACAAAATCTAGATTTTTAAATTCTATTATATGTATTATTGGGATAGTGTTAGTTGTCAACCCGACAGTCACTGTTGATGATCCTTTGATGCATATTGTTGGTTGTCTATGTATATTGATTTGTAGTGTAATACAATCACTAGGATTTATTATAATGAAAAAGATAGGTCCTGAGGTTCCATCGACAATCACTACATCATATTTTCATATAATGATCATTATTACTTCAAGTCTACAATAATAATATATTGGCAGATTTGAATATTTCGATGGTTATTATAAATATATAGCTGGATTCTCTTTATTTACTATGTTAGGATAACTAATTTAATTTAGAGCCTAAACATTAGTTACTTATGATAAGTTATGCAATTATACTTATTCATAAACTCTGTATATTATTATAATAGATTATGTAATCTTCAATAAAATACTAAGTTTGAATGGAATAATAGGTGGAAGTTTGATTTTATTTGGGGTTTTCAAATAATTAGCAGAAGACAAGAAATCAAGAGGTTGATAATTAAAATTTGTGTGTGTAGATGCTAATAATATTACATTAGATATCTAAATTATAAATATAATTAATTGTTTAATTTTCAAAAATTACTTTGAGTGAAATGTCTTAAAAGGCTTATCAAAGTATAATGGATGCGAACATTTCTGCTACTTAATTATTATAAGAAGGTAAATAAGAATAAAATAAAAATTAGAAAAATATAATTAGGGATATTAAATATTAAGAAGAATAGAAACTACTTTGAAATAAGAAAAAGAAGCTCCTACTATTCCATTATCATAAATTAATCATCTTCTCTCTGTAGTAACAAATAATATTGGTTGTTTTTATTATATGTAATTTTAATTCATAATAACATCAGGGTTGATAAATTTCAAGCAGCTGAAAAATATCTCAAATAATCTATTGAATATTTACAATTATCTATTCCAGATGAAACATTACTTATCACATTAATTAATTTAGTTATTCTCTTTATTAAAAATGAAAAATATTAAGAAGCTAGTAGATATATAGAATAAAGCTTTACTGAATTAAATTAATTATAAGATTAATAACTTAATCCAAAAATTAGATTATTTTTAGGTGATCATTCTTCTATTATGACTTTACAATCATTAGAAGCAATATTATTATTTTATAGTGGATTAACATTTTATGAATTAGGATAATCAAATAATGCTCTCTAAGCTTGGAAAAAAGTACTTGATATTTTACAATCAAATACAAAATCACCTTATTATATATTAACTAAATCAAAAATTCAAAATTTAGAGGTTGAAAATGTAGCTAAAAATAATAAAGGAAATTTATATTCTAGTAGATCACATCTTAAATCAGATAGAATCAATAAAATTTTAGAATAATATTCTAAAGATAATGAAAAATAAAATTAACAAAGTTTTCGTTTATTAAGTTAAAAAATAAAAAAAAAAGTAAATTTAATAATATAAAAAGATAGATAATGATATTAGTGAATATCAATAACCAAAATGGTAAAATAAAATTGAACATAATGAAAAGAAAATTGAAATTAATAATTACTTTACTGATTAAAAGAAAATATAAGTATAAATTAATGTGAAAGATCTTTTGCATTAAAAATCTATTACTTAAAGAGATAAAAATAGAGATATACCTCTTAGTTCTCATACTTCTAATGTCAATTAATAAATTAATAAAGCATTAAAAAAGAGACCAACATAACATATTGAAATTATTGAAAAGTTAAATAAAACACACAATGAAATCTATAAAAGTTATTTAGCACAAAGAAGTAATAATGGAAGTAAAACCTAACGTGGAGATTCAAGTATTTATTTAATTTCTAAAATTTAGATATTGATATTAAAATTAAAGTTAATGATAAAAGTTCTCATTCTTAAAATACTATTCAAAATAATAAAAGTCATGATAAAAAGTCTGTTGATCTTAGAGAATCCCCTGAATTATGTGGAAGTCCTTAATAATTTTTTAATATGCTTTCATCTACTTAAAGTGTAATTAAAAGTCAATTAATGAGATCAGGTAGTTAAGGAAGTGTATCTTAAACATCTCCTTTTAGATTAGCTTAGAGTTAAGGAGATCAACCAAAAAATACATCTAAATTACCATTTGATTATGCAAAAACTCATCGACCTATGGTTGATACTTATGACAAAGCAATAAAAGAATTATATTAAAATTAATATGTTTAAATTGAGAACAAAAAGTTTAATAGGATTTATGATTTAGCTCAAAGTGTTAAAAATAGAATATCCAATATTAATAGAATGCTAATCCAATAAGAAAAAAATCAATAAGTCCTTTAAAAGAAATTTTAATAAGAGTTTAATTAATCTTAAGATGAAGACAGTTGTGAGACCATCATAATCATGGACTGAATCAAATAGTATATAATCACTATTAAATTAAAAAAAAAATAAAAATTTATATCAAATTTTTTATTTCATGGATTAAACTATTGTTATGAATAACAACAGCAATTATCCTGGTTAGCATATCAAAGACGATTTATATATTTTAGACCTTGACTACTAATAACCAAGATTAAATCAAGATAATCAATATTCAATATATTTCTTGATATTTCAATCAATCGTTATCTTTATATCTTTTTTGAGTTTTGCTATTGGTAACTCAAAATAATTAGGATTTCCATTTGATTCAAATGGTATATATAATGCATTCTACATTATGAGGTAATATATGTGGATAAAGTGTTGGCCTAGAATAATACAAATATATATATTTTAGTAATCCTGCAAATGATAAATCTTTATATTTAACAGTTTGTGTAAAAGAATGTCCAATATAAGAGAATGAAAATGAAGTAGATGGTTTAAAGAAATAAATATATATTAGAGCTGCTTGAGTTATAATGTATGCCAAATCAATTAATTAAAACTTGCTAAAATAATCAATTAATTGGTGATAAAGACTTTAGTTTGATATATTATGATTCTCTTAAATTCATAAATGTATGTTTGCCAACAAAGTCAAGCTATTTCAAAAATGTTTTAATTGGTTTAGAATCTTATAGAATTGTTTGGTTTTTTCAAGATCTTAAGAATGGTTTTTTATTAATATTATGCACATTTTTATTTTGTACATTAATTAAGTATTAATAAATAATCATATGATAGTTAAATAGTTTATATTTTACTGTTAAAATTATAATAGAAAACAATTTGGATTATTTAAGTAACATTAATATTGGTTCTTATTTTATTAACTTTTATTTTTATCAATTATTATAAGTTATAATTGAAATTGTAATAACTAAATAGCAATTCAACTAAATTAACACTTTCAGAAATGATTAGCATAGTATAAATTAATAACTCAAATTTCACTATTATCTTTTCACCATTAATTATAGGTTTATTTTTTGCTATACTTGCAATATATTACACTTTTGATTTAATTTATAATTATAAAAAATATTAGACCATTGGATTAAAGATTACAATTGTTAATTATTTTTATGATTATAAATCTTAAATTTAAGAAAATTGCCATATTAATAAGTAATCAATTTTTACTCATTTTTATTTAATACCCATAGTTTTTGGAATTATAATTGCAGTAATCTTTTTTATTTGGGTATTAATTGCTAAGTATTTAAAACAATTAAATTAGTAATATTTTGACAATAGGAAATGTGATAACATAAAGATATCCTTTTAATACTTTTTAATTAAATTTATTTGCTTATATATTTGGAATTATTCATATATTAGGCCTATTTCTAATTCTTTTAGTAATTTCAGGTATTAATAAATTTCTGATAATTGGCATTATTTTGGAATAGTATAGTTTTTTTATAAGAGAAAAATTAAATAATTTAAAATTTAAAAAAGATAAATCAATTAAGAAAATTCTTTTATTTTTTCTATTTAACAAATTAGGAATAATAATGTTAGGTGAATTTTTGATATTTTTTGTAAGGATACCAAAAATGATAATTAAGATATATTTATGGTTAATTATGATCAAAAATCCAAATTATAAAGTTTCAAATCTGACATCAAATATTTTATCTATAAATGAAAGAGCTTACATACTATCATATATAAGACCTGATGGTTTTTTGTTAAATGCAAAATGTTAATATTTATTTGACTAAAAATTAATGTAACAAACATAAATTTAATAATAATATGGTAAATTGTTTACTAATTCATGTTGTCTAACTATCTCATGTTTATGCTTGTCATTTACATATTTACTCTTGATTATTACTAGAACAACCATTATTATTCAAGATCCAATTAACTTTTTATTGTTTTCATTCTTATCTTCCTATTATGTAAATTATATTTAATATTTAGATTACAAAATTCTATTCTCAAATTTATGGAAATACAATTGATAATCTAACAATATTATTATATAGAGATGTTACAGCTGATGGTAAAGTTGCGGGATAAAGCATTAGAAGACCTATAAGGCTTCTAAAAGAAACATTAATAAAGTTCGATGAATGATTATAATATGATCTTCTGAATAATTTTATAAATATCTTAAGATTAATGATTCTAATAAAAGAGAAAAAGTTGAATGTAAACTCTTTCTGTCATCCTAATAATTAATTTAATGAATTAACGATAGGAAATAAGTGCCAAAGAAAATAGTGCAGATTTTTCAACTACTTTATAAGAGTGTAGAAATGGTAATGCAGCTGATCATTAACTATCAAAAAAAGAATAATTTTTGCTTAAATGCACTAAGCATTAAGACATTATGATATATAAAAAGAGATATCAAATTGGTGATAGTGTATTAATAAAGACAACTAATCAAATAGAATAGATTGGTTTAATTTAAAATTTTTATGGTTATCAATAAGATGATAAAACAATAGTTCCTTTAGTTGAAGTTTAATGGTAAATTTAAGTTGTTTGATTGTAGGTATTGTACTTATTAAGATCTTGCAGATTCAATTGATAAAGACTCTTTTTCTGAATGTGAATTTATTCTTAACTGAGTAAACTACAATCCTATTTATTGATTGTATATGAATATTGATGAATTTGAAAACACTGGAACTTCAAATGCCTATTTTACTAGAGCCAAATACAATACTATAAGTAAATAATTGGAACCACCTATTACATAATGGAAAAAGGTATGTATTTGTGAATAACCTTAAAATCCTGTAAAAAATTATATTTTTAATATAAGGATTTATTGTATATTTAATGTGATTAATGTAATAAATGGTTTCATTTATCATGTATGGGATTAACATAGGAATAAGCTAATTAAATGGAATAATATAGTTGTAAAATATGTAAAAAATGAGTGTTTATTATTAATCATATTATAAACTTATTCATTAATTTATTTGCATTTACATTATTTATAATAGATTTAATTTAATCCATTTTTTTAATTGCATTTATTACTTTTATTGGATTGCTTTTCTAATTTTATAATAAATTCTTTTAAATAGAAATACTTTCTCCATATAATGAATTTAATTTGGCTAAATTTATTAAAATAATTTATATACCTTCAGTTTCACTAATTATTGATTCATCCATAAATATTTAATTATCTATTTCATCTGGATTCTTTTAATTTCTTCTTAGAATTTATTTCATGGATATTTAAGGTCTCTAATAATATTCTTTTGTATTCTCAATTCTATCACTTGTTAAACTTATTGATTTATTATAAATGGTATTTTACTTATAATTCTCTAAATTTCCTAAGTCATCAGTTAATTTTGATATTTATTAAGAAGGCATATGTGGAATTTAATTCAAAATATAATCAGAAGAGGCTCTAAAAGACTATATTCATAAAATTTAAAATTATTTAGTACTTTAAGATAATTACTGTAAATTAGCTATTATGATGCATTTTGTTATTTCAATTAGGAAATTTTAAAGCCTATTTGATTATCAGATTGTTATCTAAGATTTTATTAATTAAGTACTTAATTATTGCAATCTATTTTGATCTTATCTTAATTTTATTGTTAAATTCTTTTATTCATCAAATTATATAAATACTTTATTAATTATTAGATTCTATATCATTTGATATATTTCTACTTTTTATCCTGTCTCTAAATGTTGCTAATATTAAGTTTAAATGATTGAGTCTCTTTTCCTTTTAATATTATAATATTAATTTTTGATTATCCTTTTTGGAAAATGGTTCATCCTCATAATTATGATCAACTTCTTTAATGTAATGTTTAATTTCATTATAATCTATTTAATTTTTTATATCTGAACTTGTCTTCCTACTTAAAGATGACTAATTAAAATTACTATTAAATTTACTCTTATATGACATGAATTTGTATTTCTTTACTTTTCAATTGCAATATAAGGTTTAGAATCAGTAACATCTTCAGTGACTTTATTAATTTTTATCCATAATTTTTTGTTTGTACTTTATCTTTAGGTGTATTAAGAATATCCTCTGTTTAATTATGAAGTATCTATACGACTAGTTGGTCTGTTAGTAGTTAAAGCTGACTCAGAAGTTAGTTTATTTGATTTAAGCATATAAATAAAATAAAATTCATAAATAGTAATTCCTCTTCACTAAATATGGTTTATTCTGATTGCTTTAGTTACTCAACATACTGTTTTTTTGATTGCTATCAAAATACTCATTTGAAAAGTATTTACTATGTTGTACCATATTAGTTGGAGTTTGATTGGTTGAGAAATTTAACTATGTGTTATTAATTTAATTTGAAGTATTAAGTTAAATTTTATTACATCCAAGATTTCTATTTACTAAAGTTTCTAGATGATCAAGAGATACTAATATTGTATTGGCTGAGATTTCATTTACTTAAATCTTACTTAAATCAAAAATTTATAATTTAACAAATATTTCTTCTATCTTCTTCTAAATTTTAATTAATTAGTTATTAAAATCAGTAATTATACTAAAATAAAAATATAATGATTTACTTTTCATAATATTCCACATCTGCTTAAATTTTAATTTATAATGTATTATATTTTTATTATATTTGATTAAGATTTTATAATTCATCAATTTATTTAAAGTATTAAGTATTTAAATCTTAATTTATTTAATTTTGATCAATTACTTATTATTATAATAATTCCATTTATTCAACTTATTCTTATCTTTCTTATTAAAGTCTTTCAATTTTCTAATTTAAATCTTAAATCTCCCTATTAAGATTAGTTTCTTTCTCTTTAAGACAATTATTTTATTAAATCATTTCTTAATTTTATTATGTAATTGTAATTAATTATTTATTCTATTATTCAATCTATTATAATTAATTACTCAATTTCTCTTAATACTCTCCTAATTTTTAATGTAATATCAATTATTATTAAAAATCTTAAAGAGTTTATTTATTTATTCGAATCATCTAATCTAAACCCTATTATTACTTTTATATAATATTAGTATTTCTTGATGATTTTAAATTACTATCAAATTCACAAACACTATGATTATCTTACATCTATGTAAATTAAATTTAACTTTATTTATCATCAGATTATCTAATTATCATTTATATTTATGATGCACTATCATTAAATTTTCTACTTAAATCTTTATTTTATTATTCATAATCTTATAATTATCTTTGTAATATAGTAATTTATGATTGATATTTCATTATTTCATCTTATAATAAACTTTTATTCTTATTTTATATCTCACTAATTTCTTTAATAAAATCCTCTTTATCCATTAATTCAATGTTGTATTATTCTATTTATTTTTATAATTATAAAATCATAATTTTCATTTCTTTCTACTTTAAATCTTTTTAATCATTTTACTATTTTAATTATTCAGCAATATCTTTCTATTTATCAACATAATCTAATAATGATTCCTTTTCTTATTCTAATTAATTGATTGTTTGATTAGCTAATGTTAATTTTGAAATTGCTTATTCTATAGATTTACTTAATTCTTGATTTTAATGCTAATATTCATTAAGATCAATATATTCATTAGGTTTATTTTGATAATTTTAAATTATTCCTTATAATTATTAGATTTAATTTTCATAATATTCTTTCTATCTTTTTAATTCTATATAAAAATCAACACATTTTCCATTATTTTATTTGATAACAAAAACTCCACAATTAAACAATTTTTTTTCCAATTCCAATTTCAATAAATTATTATAAATCATTAATTATTCATAACTCTAGTGTTCACTTTCATTTGATTAATTATGATTACTATGATGTGTTGATTGAGTTGACTATAATGGAGCATATTATTATTTCAATTTATTTAAATATGAATTAGGTTAACTAGGTGATTTCTTTTTAGTATAATTATTAGGTGGTAGGCTACTATTATGATATTTGTTAATAAAATTTGAATCTTATTGAGATTACTTATTGCTCATATTAACTACTTAATTCTAATTATATGGAGCAAAAGTATATTCTCTATGTGAATAATGAATACTTGATGGTTTTTATTGTTAAGATTAGACATCTATTTGTTAACCATAATTGTCAATATAATTTAAATTCATTAATATTTTTATATTAACTCAAATATCATCATAAGCATTCTTGATTCCCTCTTTGAAAGTATCAAATAATTTTGAAAATGATTTATCAGTCTTGTTTAATTCATCTCTTAAAGGTAAGAATAGTTTATGATGCAAAGAGAAGTAATATGCTTAATCTAAGTTAATTGCAAAATAAAATCCTGCTGTAAATCCAATTAATAAGTATCCAACTTACAATCTATTTATCATTAATATATTTTTATTAAAATTAATAATGGTTTATAGAGTATTCTAAAATTGTATTATATGATTTAATAATTATACTTTTATTTTAATATTCATTTTATCATTTATATATTATTAATAGTATGAAATTATTAAATCATATATATATATATATTTCATAGTTTTAAATCTAAAATACTATTTTTTTGTTTCTAATCATTTTTAAAATGTGCAGTTTCAGTAAACATAGTGAAATTATCATTCTCTTTATCTTATTATGATTTTCTTGTATTCTACAACTTAATTGATGATAATTATGATGATGAATTGATGTTTTATCTTATTTTTGTCTCTGATTTTACTGAAATAACAGATTAATTCCTACTTTCTAATCTACTTTATAAATTTCCTTATCTTAAATTAAGATTAGGTTTAAATGTTAACTCTTTATCATATTCTTATTGTATTATATTTAGAGTTCGTTTCCTTTTATTTACATGATTTTTCATTCTTTCATAAAGAGACTCATTTGTTCCAATAGATTTAGGATTTGTCTTTTATCTTTTTTAACTGTCTTCCAATCCTGTTTATTTAGATTTAGATGATAACATATATAATCTATCAAAAGCAGGTTAAGAACTAGTAGAAAAATTAGTATGAGTATTAATTTTAGGCTTAAATGTACAACTTTCTAATTCTTTTGTTTCTGATTCAAGTTTTTAAAAGGCTTTTATTTATTATTTCTCAGCTGATTCATTATGTAATCTTACAAAAACTAATTAAGTTGTTATTATTTATTACTATCATCACCACTTCTATTTAATTATCTTTAGGATATTTATGGCCTAAAACTACATTACTAAAGTTCTCTTTCTTCTCTAGTTGGAGCTAAACTTAATTTCATATTATTTCTATTTATTGATTCTTAATATAATCTATCAAAGATTTATTCTATAGGTTAATAATTAGAAATTGATGATTATTTATTAATCTAAGGTGTAAATGTACATTAAACAATTTCTTATTTTTGTTTTACTTCTGAAAAATCATTTTTACAAGCAAGTTGACTTTTATATAAACGATCAAAAACTTCAGTGTCATTATTACCAAGTCTTTCTGCTGATATTTAAGGTTTAAATGTACAATCTCTTAATTCTTATTTACATTTCTCTTGTTCAAATTATTCTCTATGTCAGTTAGTATAATTTTACTTTTTTACTTTCTAAGCTATTCCATCTTAATATAATCTCTCACATGTATCATTAAAACCCATTTAACTAAGTTTAAATTTATCTACAGGAGATTAATATTAAAGCTATTGTTAACTTAATGACTTTTATGAATTTCTCAATTACTAGGGACTATTTAATATTTTTTAAGAATTCAATATTCTAAATGGTTTTTATAAAGCTATTTTTGTTAATATCTTAATTAAGGATGTTGGATTTTATTTTTGCTTTAATTTTAATTTCCAACAATCATATATTCTGTTGGCCATATCAAATGAATCTGAAGCTGTGAGATTTTTCAAATAATCTGATAATTAAAACATCATATTGTTAGTTGATATTTATTAATTATTAGCAATAATGCCAGTATCAACTAAATAATCGATAAATTTTGCCATTTTTTAATTAAATTTATAATCATTATTTTAATCTATTAATAAAGCTTTGTCTTCGAAATTCTGTAAATAATTTTCTGTCTCTTCTACCTTTTAAAAATCTAGCAATAACTTTGCATGCCATAAATTTCTCTATTTGATTCTCCCATTATTAATTATATTTTTGTTTATTCTCAGTCAACTTTTATATAATTTAATTAGCATAATGTTCTTTCTTATCTAATTCCTTAAATAAATAAATTAAATAATTACTTCAATAATCTATTTTTATCTACTAAATTTTTCTTTTAATTATTTTAATGTGAGTTTTGCTTAAGATAATTCATCTTACCTTTTAGTACTTACTTCTATCATAATTCTTTCCTTATCTTTAGTATCTTACAATTCTTAAAACATCTTAGAAATATTAGTGTTATTCTACAACAAATACTTTTCAAGATCAGATCTCATATTCATTATTTCTTCTTTTCTTTCTTTAGCATTTTTAGCCTTATATACTACTTTTTTGGATGTCTTTATTAAACTTTCATTTGATTTAACTTTCTTATTATTATCTTAAACTTTCTCTAATTTAATTTAAGATTATTTAGTTTCAATTTCTTATTATTATCTTACTTAAACTTATTAAATTTCTTAATCCTTATTTATTATCTTACTTTCTTCATCAATTTCAAAGTTATCTTAATCATATACTTATTCATACTCCATTTTTTAAGTAGATTTCTTTTAAGTTTACTTTTCCTATTCAAAATCATCATAATATTATTCTTCATCTAAATGTGGAACTTATTCTAATACCAAATTATTTTAAAGCAATTCATTCATTCGCAATTATTATATATTATCCAATTTTTATTATATTTCCTTTTATTATTATTTTAATATGTCTTGGTTTTATTTAATTGAGGTTTCAATAATGTTAGTCTTTTATTACTTATATATAAACTATTATTAATTTGCCTTTTCAATAGATTCATACTTTTAAATATGAATTTTAGATGTAGGACTCTAAGAAATAAAGAAATTATTATCCAAATCCCTATCATCATCATCCCAATCAAAAATACCTGCATTTTTAATATTATTTTATTTTTAATATTATTATTTATTGTTATTATTGTCCATTTGTTATTATTTTGAATATATAGGTTATTTTACCAGAATATTGTTTTATTAAGAAAAATAACAATTAGATTATATATTAGAAGTTGTCCCTTATGTTTTATTATTATCAAATTTAACTTATTTAGCAGAAAAATGTTATGGAGAACTATGTTATTATGTTAATTGTTTAGATTCCACTCCCTTAGTTTATTAATTTAAATCCTTTTTATTTGAAGATGATCTTTATCCTGATTAACTCAATGGTCTGATAATGTTTTTTTAATTTACTTTTTTATCTTATTTTTTGAATTATTGATTAAGTTTATCTTTGTTTTATTAGGCACTGATTTATTATGTTGATTGAAGGTTATCCTCAAATACAACTTATTAGAAATCAAAATTAAGTGAAGGTTTCAATAATTGTTACATTAATTAATTTTCATTATTTATAATAAACTATAATATCATCAACTCCAAAACTGCCATCACAAGGATGTCTTTTATGATTTGCTTAAAATGATATTGTAAATTCATGTGTTTTATGTTCCATAGTAAATTAAACAGGAATACCAAGTGCAAATAAAGCAGGACAAGGATGTTCTGCTTAAGTGATTTCCCCTTAAAATACTTTACTCCATGCAACTTTATTGTCAATTAAGACGTTAATACTATCTCCATTCCAATCTCCAAAGATTGTTAATTCTGCACTGACTCTTATATGATTATGTTCTATATTGGTATTGTACGTTTTCTGAAGACTTGGATTATTAACATTACAATTAGCTTCATGTATGAAATGATCATTTTATGGAGAGCCTTCTACATCAGTATAATGGATTCCCTTTAGTTCACAATAAGCTCTATGAGGTATATTCCAACCAAGCATAGAGTTCCTATTTTCAAAATCATCATGATGTAAGATTGTCCAAGTTTGAACAAATCCAAATTGATTATACAATGTTGTTGATCTGATTGGTCCAGATTATAATAAAATTGGACTTTCAAATATAATTGGTTTGTCTTCTGCTATTCCTTAAATATCAGCAGCAGATATATGATCAATTTCTGTTTTTTCAGCTTAGAATTCTTCTTCCAAAACTATTTTATTTTTTTATTCCAAATAATATGTAAATACATTCTTACATTTCACTAAATAATCAGCAGTAATTTAAGGAACTTTGAAATTGCGATTTGCTTTAATATTCTTGCTATTTACAAAATAAATGAAAACTAAAAGCAAATTTATTAACATATAATTTATTATTAAAATAATAGTTTTATTTCATTTTCTCATCATTGAACCATATTATATTTAAGAATATTTAATATATAAGCTAAATTTATATTAAAATATCTTATATTTAAAATGAAACATATAAGATAATAATACTAGCTCTTTTATTTCAATACAACATATGATATTTAAAGTTGTTATATTTTATATAATAATATTTATTTATAATGAACTTGTTAATTTAGGATAAAACAGAATAGTTCTCTATGCCAAACTTAAATTTCAGCATAAGTCAAATGATCAATTAAGCTACATTAAAATAATAGTAGTAATCAACAACTGAATTCTTGACTCCATCAAAACATCGTTCAATGGAATAATTATTAAAATCACCAGGAGTATAGGAACTAATAAAAGATTCTATAAAAGCAGTTATAAAAAAGAAAGATTTTAGTCCAAAATTATTTACATAATATAAATATGATCAATTAGATAGATCTGAAAGTCCAGCATAATAAATTTTACCTAAAATAGAAAAAGTCAATAATATACATGTTCTTAAATAAATATAACATGTAAAGAAAAAGAAATGTAAAAATTCATTATTAAATTATCATAGCAAATAATCATGGTAACTCACCAAAGTCTAAGAAATCAAATCATTTAAAATATTAATAAGGAAGATTTATGTAAATATTTCCATAAACAGATGGAATATCCACTTTGAACATATCATCTAAACCAATTCATATTATTTGTACTATTAATTATTCATTGTAGAAAGAAATAAATTTTAGGATTCCTTTTTAAATAATTCTATGGATAATAAATTAGAAAAAGAAATCGTTTAAAAAATTAGATTATAAATGGAAAAACACACTACATAAATTGAAACTGAAACTGTACGTACAAATAAATAAGCAAGATAAAATTCATAATTAATCAAAACTTCTAGGAATATTAAAATGGAACCAATGGGAAATGTTCCAACAGTTATGTAAATAACTAATCCTAATTCAACCACTACTTAATTACCTAATATTAAAAAGAAGAAATTAAAAAAATTTGATGGAATATATTATTTTGATCCAAAATATCCATAAGATTTAATTTTTTAAGAAAGATATGCATCTATGAGACATTATTTTAATATAATGAATTTATCTAATTGTCTATTTGTTTAACAAAATTAAAATATTTACAAAGCATATGTTGGAAAAGGTAATAATGGAATGTTAGTAAGATAAATTTTAAAAAGTAGATGGTGGTGGAGTATTTAAGATGAATAAGAATCATGTCATTTTGTTTGGACTCAATTAAAAGTTAATACAATTCATGAAAATATGAAAGCATTAAATAGAAATCCTAATGAATCAATGAGTTGTTAAAGTGCTTCCTCTTCTCTAACTACAATAGGATCTGTTAGTTTAGGATTCTCTAAATAAGATGAATAAAGTGAAAGTGAATAAATTAAAATTGATGCAATACAAAAGATTAATAATTAATGGAATAAATTTCTTTCAAATGCTGAATTAAGATAATTTAGTACAATTCTTAATGGACAAGGTCGATAATCTAAATTATTAACTTTAGAGTAAGCATAAACAGTCAAACCCAAACTTTCAATATATAATGAACCTGTTAAAGCACATAATCACTTAGAAAATAATTTTCATTTAGGAAATAAGAAAGCTTTATTTTATAATATGAAGGCATATTATGAATCATAAAATTTAAATGTTTTTGAAAATTTACCAGTTACATATCATATTAAAAGTCTTGATGGACCAGAGTATCATCAATTTATGGAAGCATATAAAGAAAGATAATAAATGATAAATTAAGAAAATGATGAAAAAAATAAACGTAGAAATATATGGATTATAAAACCAGGAGAAATTACAAATAGAGGTAATGGGATAAAAGTATCTGAAGATTTAAATGAAATTCAATCTATTTTAAATTCAAGAGAAATGCATAAAAATGGAAGTTATAAAACATTTATTGTTTAATTGTATATTGATAGACCTTTACTTTATAATAAACGCAAATTTGATATAAGATGTTATAGTATGTATGTATCAATCAATGGAAATTAAAAAGGTTATTGGTATACTGAAGGTTATGTTAGAACATCTAGTAAAGAATTTACAATGAAAAATCTTACTAATAAAATGATTCATTTAACTAATGATGCTGTTTAAAAAAAAGGAGAAGATTATGGAAAATATGAAAAAGGCAATAAAGTTAGTTTTGAAGAATTTTCAGTCTATGTTGAAAATCTTGGAGGTGATTTTAATAAGATATATGCAAAAATGAAAGTATTTTATTATATACATATATTTATAGTAAATGGCAACTGAATAATTTAAAGCAGTATATGGTAAAATAGATTAAAATAAAAGAGAAAACACTTTTGAAATATTTGGATTAGATTTTATGATTGATGATGCTTTTAATGTTAAAATGATTGAGGCAAATACAAATCCATCAATTGAAATTTGTTGTCCTTTACTATCTAAATTAATACCTTAAATGCTGGATAATGCATTCAAGTATTTATAATAAATATTGAAGAATTGCATTAGATCCAATATTTCCTCCTCCAAACTTTTATAATCCTAAAAAGATTATTTGTGAAAATTATCTTGAGAATAAATTTGAATTAGTTTTTGATGAAATGACTGATGGACCACTTATTACATAATCACAACCTAATTGTATTTAAATTATTTATAACAATATTAGATGATATTGGATTAATTGAAGAAGAATCTGAAGAAGAAGAACCTGAATGATTAATATTAATATTATTTTAATATAAATTACTTATTTATATAGCTTACTATTATAGTTGATATTTTATTTTTGAGTAAAACAGAAAAAAAATAACAGGATAATGATGTTTATACTAAACAATTCATGTTACCCTCCTTAAATTTTTATTAATAGATGAAAAAAGAATCCAAGTATTATTTAGGAAGTTTACTAGCACCTTACTATTATGAATCTAATTCCTATATTGAATTAGCTCCTAATGATAAAGCATTTCTTTGTCCACAAATGATTGATTTTAGTAATCCTATTTGTTCATTAAAAAATGAAAATATATCAACATACATTGTTACTAAAACTATGAATTTCAAATAGTCAACATTGGTTCTTAAATAAAAAAAAATTGGTAAACAAATACATTACAAACCATTATAAATTCATGGAAGAATTTCTCATTGTTATGATGAAATATGGTGGTTTTTATTAACAATAGATTATGTTAAGGTAATTGCAAGATAAGTCAATTTCAAATATCCAGATAATTTAAGATAAATACGATTGGATGTCTATTTAAAATAGAATGCATTAAATGATTAATTTGATATATCTAAATTCAATTAAAAAGCATTCTAAGATGGTTTTGTAAACAGAGAAAGATTTTCATATGCTGAATCAGAAGAAGATCTCAATGTAGATTTATAATACTTTGCTCGTTTATCACTTTTACTATTATTTGATTTATTAAATCTTTAAAGAACAATACCAGCAATGATCAAATCAGATAAGTATGTTAAGATATTTTTTACTTAATTGGAGAAATTTCATTCACTTCAGATGGGATAACCTCTTAGACTTGATTTAACATTCAAAGATTTTGCAAGAGTAATCATTACAAACAATGAATATTATAAAAAGTCATTGTAAAATTCAGCATTTTCTAATAAATTATATTCTCTTAAAGACTTTAAGAGTTCCTGTTTATTTTTATCAAAAAATAAATATTATACTAATGAAGAAACATAATTTACACCTATTCAATAAGAAGTACCTATTTATTAGAATGTTTATTTTAAAAAATACATGAATACTTTATTACTTGAAATATAGAAGTTTATATCTACATCTACTAAACATGTACCTGAACACAAATAAAAGAATTATTAAAAGTATTGTTTTGAATTATTGTTTCTAAAATTGAATTGTACTTATCAATCTTTATGTTAAGGATTTCATAATCATTAACCAAGCATTGATAAACTTAATGAATTGAGATATAAGGTTGATAATATTGAATAATTGAGTATAAAGACATTTCTATCACTTAATGCTGAGAATTCATCCTTATATAAAGAGATTTAAAATCCATTTATTTAAGTTATTGTAGGAGGTATAAATCATAAGAAAGACAAAGAATATTTTGAATTATAGATTTCTTCAGGGAATTTATGTGATTGTTAAAAATATTAGTAATCATTAAAATAATTGGAAATCACTAGAAGAGAATAAGTATAAAAAATGATAGATTATTGTACAGGTAAATTAAAAGAGTCTGAAGAAATAAATGAAATTAATTCATTTTTAAATAGTAAAGATTAAGAAATATATGAACATTCTAAACCAAAAACTATGGTTTGTGAATTAAAACAACATTAGAAATAAGCATTAACATGGATGTTATGGAGAGAAGGTATAATATCTAATCCCAAAAATTAAGAAGCTAAAGATAAAGGTTAATGGTAATTATCTCCTTTATGGGAAGAAGTTCTTTTAGAAAATGGAAAAAAATTATATATGAATACATTTACTGGTAAAATCACAGATGAATTTTAATCTTATAATTCTACTAAAGGAGGAATTCTTGCAGATGAAATGGGATTAGGTAAAACTATTATGACTTTGGCTTTGATTTTGTAAACTTAAAAAAAAGGAAGAGTTACATTAATAATAGTTCCAAAATCTGTTTTATTATAATGGTAAGCTGAAATTAAAAAACATTCTTAACCTAATAGTCTTTAAGTTTTGATATTTTATAAAATGTCAAGTAGAAATAAGAAAATTGATTTCTCTAATTATGATGTTATTTTGACAACATATACTGTTTTAGCATAGAATTATTCTAATTGGCTTAAGGAAAATGGATTAGAAGATACTGAAATATATTAAAAAGTAAGGAATAGACCAGATAATGAATATAAAGAATAAAAAGAATATAAAGAATATAAAGATTTAAAAGATTTAAAAGAATCTAAAATTAGTAATGATACTTAAATTTTAAATGATAGTTTTGAAATTGAATTAGATTCTTAAGATTTTTGTTAGAATTATGATTAAAGTGAAGAATTCAAATCTATTTTTGATTTAAAATCATCTAAATCTGAAAAATCTAAATTCTTTGGGGAATCAAAAGAAATAAGTTTAAATAATAATGAATGTAGTACAAAAACAAAGAAAAATAATTAAGGGAAAGTCCCTAATTTATTTGATTTTAACTATTATAGAGTTATATTAGATGAAGCTCATAATATAAAAACTAAAAATACTTTATAAACAAGAAGTGCTATGGCTTTAAAAAGTGAATGTCGATGGTGTTTAACTGGTACCCCAATTTAAAATAAACATGACGATTTATTTAGTTTATTATCATTTTTGAGAGTAGAAACATTTGGTGAATAGTATATTATTTATTTTTATATTTCATAGTTATTGGTGGAATGCTTACATTAATAAAGAAGAAAATGAAGAAGAACAACAATGTATCTTGGGAGAGATAATCAAACCAATTATTCTAAGAAGAACGAAATAATAATTGAATAATCAAAATTAATTACAAATAAATGAATCTATTTGTTGGGTTAAATTAGAAAATAAGGAAAGAGCACTTTATGATAAATTTTTTGAGGGAACTTAATAATTATTTAAAGTCTATTTAAATTCTGAAAAAAGCAGACAATTTGTCCATATCTTTCAAATCATAAATAAATTAAGAATGACTTGTGATCATCCTTCAATAGCTTTAAAAGGAATTAATTTAGATACAAATTCTATTGATGAAATTAAATATTGTATAGAAAACTTTTTTGCCAAATAAAAATCAAATGATTAAGATATTTCTGATAAATAAAGATAATCATTAATTGATCTAATATAAAGAGGTAATTTAAATGACTGTACACTTTGTTCTGAAGATGGGATTACTACATTTGATATATCTATATGTGGGCATGTCTATTGTCATAAGTATCATTTATTTTATAATGTTTTAGTTGTTTCAAAGAAGTTATTGAAACCCTTGGAGAATGTCCAACCTGTTCTAAAAGATTAACTTTAAAAGACATTATGAGTGTGTAGAGTAATTCTATTGAAGTATAAGAAATCAAATAAACAAAATGGGGACCTAGTAGTAAAATGCTTGCTGTTGTTAATGAAACCAAAAAGGTTCAAATCAAAAGAGAAAAATGTCTTATCTTCACCTAATGGATAGAAATGATTAGATTACTAGAAGAAAAATTTCTAGAGGAAGAGATTTGGTGTTAAGTAGTTACAGGAGCTATGTCTGTAGAATAAAGAAATAAAGTTATTTAATCATTTGAATAGCATCCTGCTTTTACTGCTTTAATATTATCTTTAAGGGCAACATCCACTGGATTAAATTTAACAATGGCTAATCATGTTTTCTTAGTTGATCCTTGGTGGAATGTATTTTATCTAATTTTATTTTTAGCCAGCTATTGAAGATCAAGCTATTGGGAGAGCTGATAGAATTGGATAAAAGAAATAAGTAAATGTAATTAGATTTCTGTGTGCAAATACAATTGAAGAAAAAATTAATTTGTTGCATTAGAAGAAAAAGAAAATGATAAGGAAAGTCATAGCAAATGATTAAAAAAAATCTTAAGATATAGATGACTTTAAGTTTTTAATATTTGAATAACCAAATATGATCTGATATTATTTGTTTTAATAAATTTATATTAATTAAATAATTAGTTTAATAATTTAGTGGAACTCTCTTTTTTAGATGAAAAAAAATAATTCTTAAATATTATAACAATTGTAAATAATTCTATTAAAAATTTAAATGAATATAATTTAATTCATTTTTTTTTATTTTGCTTAAATTATCAAACTGATATAGTTGGCTACCTATAATAAATCGATTATATAATTAACTTTAAAATTTTATATGATGAACCTCAAAATTATTAAGAATAATAATTCGTATTTTTTTACTAGATTAACGTTTCATATTATCATATATTTTATTATTATTTAAAATATTATAATTATATCAATATATTTATATTAATTATATTAAAATATAAAAAAATATTCTCATATACTTAATGGAATTTTTAGAATTATTGCTAAATAACTCTTTAATCCAAAAAAAAAAAAGAATTAAAAGAAAACAATTTTGGACCATAAAAAATGGCATCATATGAATATGTAATATTTGTTCATTCATATTTTTGATTAAAAAAAAATCTAAAAATTGGTCTAAAGCATTCTGATAAATGAATTTACAACCAATGATATAGCTTTAGTTTAAATTTCGATTTAACATTAAGGCTAAACTTAGAATTTGAATTATCTATAAATATAATCAATATCATTATTATATATGTTAATGATAAATAAGATAACAATATAATATCAAATTTAAGAATATAATCATAAACAAGTTATTTCATCTAATAATATCATTATCAAAAATGTTATTAGTAAGTTTATATTAATATTGTTATGACTCTTAAGTTTATTTTAACTTTTCAATTTTAAGTTAAGCTTTAACTCTTTCTAAAGCATATTCTTTTTCAAGTTTAGCTTTTTCTTCACCTTTAACTTAATTTAATTTTTCATCTCTTAAATTTTCATTTGCATGTTCTTCCATTAATAATCTCATCATATCTTAATTATGTTTTTAAACCATTTTATTAAGATAGATTAGAATTTAAGGACTTGGAGCTTCTGGTCTAGTTGGTTCAGATTTCTTTTTAGCTTCAATTTTTTTATGGAATTTAGGTGTAGTTCTATTGGCTAAATTTGAAATATTAAATTACCCTACTATTCAATAATAGGTGATGTTGGTTTAAGATCTATTTTATCTTTTGTTTAAATAGGTTCAGGTTTAGCAGATTAAATCTTAGCTGGTCTAACAGATTATAATTTATCAGGTCTTTCTTTAACTTAATTAGTTTTAGGTCTTGTGGATGAAAAAGTACGATAAGGATTACTTTAATTATTAAATTTTGCATCTGGTTCAGTTATACCTAATTATTTCTAAATTTCAGCAGGTGGAAGTTTACCTTCTCTAACTTTTTCAAATTTGTTCATAATTTCTCTTTTTTATTTTTCAATTTCTCTTCTTAGATTATGTCTTTAAGATAATAATTAATCAAGATCTTCTGATAATTTATCTGCTCTTTACATTTTTTCAACAATTTTTTCTTATAATTTTTATTTATCATACTCTTATTTTCTCATAATTCTTTCTACATTCTCTCTTTTATCAAAACGTTTTAATATATCCAATGTTTTTCTATCTTAAAGTTATTCATTTCTTTCTTCTTGTATTTTATTTAATATATCTTCTTTCTCATTTATCTTTTTAACTAATTCTTCAATTTTTTATTTATTATTTTCTTCATTTAATAATAAAACTTATTTTCTTTATTACTCTTTTTCTTTTTCTAATTATTTTTTCTATTCTTTTTCTTTTTCTAATTCTTCTTCAATTTATTTTCTTCTTTCTTCTGCTTCTTGTATTTTCTTTAAATATTAATTCTTCTTTTCTTATTCCATTTGATTATTTTATTCAATTACCTTTTAAAATAATTCAGAATGTTTTTCAGCTTCTTTTCTTTACTATTCAAACTTCTTTTATTTTTCTTCTTCATATTATTTTTATTTTATTTCACTTAATTTTATTTTTCTTTCAAAATCCTATACATATCAATTATTAGAATATACATCTTTTAATTTTTAAAGTTCATTTTCATTCCTTTATTTTGCCTATTAAATTCTTTCTTCATTTTATAATCTTGCTAATTCTGCTTCTTATTTCTTTTTTAATTTTTATTCTTCTAATGCCTTTCTTCTTTATTCTGCTTTGAGTTCCATATCTTATTTTCTTTTTTCTAATAATTCTTATTAGATTCTTTAATTTTCTTCATTTTATTTTTTTAATTTTTCTTATATAGCTTTTCGTTCCTCTTCTTTTTTCCTTGCTTCTTCTTCTCTTTCCTTTTATTTCAATTCTTCTAATTTTAATCGTTCTTTTTCTTTCAATTCCATTTCCTTTAATTTTTACCTCTATATTTCTTCTTCCTATTCTCTTTTTTATTATTTCTCTAACTCCTTTTATTTTTTTTATTCCTCTTATTCAGCTCTTTTCTTTTATAATTCAACATCCCTTTATTATTATTTTGCAATTTCTTCAGCTTATTTTCTTTCATTTTCTTATCGTATTTCTTGCATTTTCAATTCATATTCAAGCATACCTTCTATTTCTTTTTACTACTTCTTTTTAATTTTCTCTAATTATTACTTTTCCTTTTCAACTAAGGAAGATGTTTCTTATTAACCATATTTTGATATCACTTTACTTTTAGATAATCCTTCACAACTCCATGCCCCTTTACATAAATATAATGTAAAGTACCAGTCTTTTCATCTTCAATAACAATATGTCTTTATTTAATTAATTCTTCAAATTTCTTTTCTCTTCTTTCCTCATAATGTTTGTAAAATTGTTCAATTCCCTTATGATCTAAATTTTTCATTTTGTATCTCTTTTGAAACTCTTCAAATGGAATCTTAACAATTTCACTAGGTTAGATTCCTTCCCTTCTACAAGCCTCAAGAGATCTCGGTGTATTAATTTCTGGTGCATTTGGTTAATGAAAACCGAAATCTGATAATGAAACTTTCATTTTAATTTATATATATATATATAGATATAAAAAACATTATTTCAATATTTCTAAATCTTATCCTCCTCATCTGCTAATTATATAGACTCATCAATATCTTAAGTAAGACTCTTCTTTGTAATTTCCTTATTACCAATACCAACATAATAATCCAGAAATGTCATATATCTAGTTTGTTCTTCAATAACTGATTAAACCTAAATAGTATGAAAATTAATACTCCAGCTCCTCCAGAATGTCCACCATCATTAATATCAATAATAAGAGGATGATCTCCAATGGTTTCCACTTTTTTAGACTTAATAGCAATCTATTTTAATTTTTCTGTGTATTTTAATACATTCCACAAAGGAGCTCTAAAATCTCCAGTACCAGCACTTATATAAATTGCTGGATAAACTTATTTTTTTAAATTTTCATAAGGAGAATAACTCAAAATAGTATCGAATATTTTTTTATCATTTGGATTACCAAATTCCAAATAATCTGATTTTGTTAAAGGTAAATTTTCATCTAATAAAGATCCTAAGACATCTAAAAAAGGTGAGAGTAATATTGCACATTTCCAGATATCAGGTCTCATATTTATGGCTGCTCCCAAAGTTGTAGCTCCAGCAGATGCTCCTAATCCGCATAATAATGATGGATGAGTGTATCCTTCTGCTATTAGATAAGCAGCACATCCAAGTAGATCTTCTATGCTCTTTATTTTATTTTCCAAAATTGCTTATCTATGCCAATCTTATCCTCTTTCATATCCACCTCTAATATGAGCATAGGCTAAAGTCCAACCCTTTTCTAAAGCATTTAGTTGTACTGTATTAAAAGGTATTTCTTATGGAAGACCATAGGCACCATAAGAATGTAAAAGCAATTTGTTCTGTCTATTCTTTTACAAACCTTTATGATGTACTAAAGTGATTGGAATTTCAGTGCCATCTTTACTTGGAGCATAATATCTAGTACAAGTAAACTCTTCTCTTTTGAATGTTTTACCTGTAAGACTAAAATCCTAAAGTTTAGATAACTATTTATTTGATAGATTGTATTGGTAAACTTAATCATATACCAATGGTGTACTGAGATGAAACTAAAATACACCACTCTTGTAATTATGATTAATACCGGGTTCTATTGTAGCTCCTAATACTTCATTTTCTATCTTCTAATTCATAAAATATTAAGACTTATCCTTTTTTATTACTCTATCATAAATATTTCTCAACATATTTTTTGTATTTTTTTGATCATTTGAATATACCAATGATGGTGGAATGATTATATTATGAATTTCTTTATCCTACAATGAAATAACTTTAATAAAACTTTCACTTTCTTTAGTGTAGTATAATACTAAATGCTTGTGAAATAAGTCTACTTCTTATAATACTTCTCCTTATTAAGGACAATAGAAATCTACAAATTTATCACCTTCTTATTTTAATACTTTATAATCATAATTGTTTTTATTAGTCAATATGTATAATCCATGTTCTTCATGATGATGAACTAAATTAATTGCATTCTCTTTTCTTGAAAACAAGAGTTATAATTTCTTAGGATCTTCACGATCTATCAAAATCACTTCGTTACTTTACTTAGTCTAACTTAATAAAACAAAATATTTTCCATCTTTGGTTTAATGTAAATCTAAATAAAATTGTTCATCTTTTTCTTCAAATAATAACTCATCTTCTTCTTAAGTTGTTCCCAATTTATGTAACATCAATTTATAAGGTCTGAATTTATCATCATATTAAGTATATATTAAATGTTTATTATCCTTAGTAAAAGCTGCATCAAAACAATCAGATAATTTTGTCCTCAATACTCTTTCATCATCTATATATTTAATAAACCAAACAACATCTTCATTATTTAATAAATCAATTCCAAATGCTATTAATTTATGATCATCTGAAATCTTTAACTTTGTTAACTTTAAAGTTGCTTGATATTATTTCAAAAATTAAATTTTTTTTAAGTCTAATACTACTTCTTTCTCACCTTCTTT